TAACAAAATAAAAAGTTAAGCTTTGCTACTATGATGTAAGTTATCCAGTGACTCTCCTGAAGAATGTAAGGAACCTGAGAACAATAATGATACAATTAAGATCTGGAACATTCCAGTTATTTACAGTTGTTAATATCAGGAAAAGATAGTATGAAGAATGTATATTATGGATTTTGAAGGACAAAGGAATCAAAAATGAAAAATAAAATAATTTTGTTCAGTGCGCGTTATTTAAAAATATCGAAATCGACTTTAATAGAAACGTCGCATTATAGCAACAATGACTGCATCATCAATTAACTATCACCGATTTTGCTTACTCATGTACTACTCAGGGCACAACAAGTTGATTACCCATATCACAAAAAATGGGGAAAAATTATTGTAATCGTTAATACTTTTCTTTTACTTTAACAATGCAAACTACGATTATTTGAATAAATATATTGATATAAGATTCGATTGCGATATTTTATGTCTGCATACGTATTATATATCAAAATAAGCTGAATAAAAACACTTTCAAACTGTTCCGTCTGATGTACCATATCTATTTGCAATTATTTCCTTCCAAAGTACTCCAAAATTGTCTCACTTTAGAGAATCGCTTGCGTCCTTGCATGCACAACAAAAAGAAGGAAAAAAGTAACACAGAGAAAAAAGAGTGAAAAATTATTTCAAGTGGCGATGAGATGGACCGTTAATGGACGTGCCAGTCGCTGGTTGTCGCTTGGTCATGATGTACACAAACCTTTATGATTTCGTACACGTTCTCGTTGAGATAGGTGATAACCAGAATTGCGTAGAGGCGTCAGTGGTTCTTCCCCCCATGAATGCGTCGTTCCAAGAGGCGCTGGCATAATTGAACCAAGAGGAGGTGGAGGAGGACCATGAATATGATCATTACCAAATGGAGGTGGCGGTAATCTGTGATTAAAGGATGGAAGTAAATGCGGGGACATTGGTGTAGGGGAACTTGCGTTATCATACCTGCTGGAAGCAGGAGGATGTAAAGGCATAGGCGGGGGTGAAGATAATCTTCCACCCAATGGTGGTGGTCGTTGACTAATTTCATACGGTGGCACGTTGGACGCGTTTGGTAACGGAGGTGGCAAATAGGGAGGAAATAATGAGTGTAAATAGGAAGGTGGCGGCGGAGGAGGAACACTTGAAGAACCAGAAAACATTATAGGAGAACCTGATGACTCTGCTCCTATGAATAATGGAGGTGACGTTGCCGTCTCCCCGTTCGCCTCCAGGCCTGTTTGAAAATCAGTTTAAGAAAGTATAATTTTCCACTTAAGCGTTACTTTTCTTTGGTAAGACTGTTTTGATGTTTGAAGGCATGCATTGACAGTAGATGAATATCTTGAATATCTTGAATATCTTTGGTTATTTTCGTTATAAATGTATGCTTAATAATTAGATATTTAAATGTTATACATTCTACTGATACTAGAGTTTAAGAAGTTTAAAATTTAATAACTAAAAGATTACAATAACTCTCAACATTTAAATGCTGAAATATAATTCAAATGAAACTAATGAAACACTAACGCAGAAAACTGTGTAATTAAATATACCAGTGTATTTGAATAATAGCTGCTACTTAAAGAAATTATAGTACTGAAGTGAAGTCAAGTAACAGTGGGAAAATATAATTTTTTGATGGTACAAAGACTTACGATGCAATTTTGCTTCAGGATCATCGTTAATATTCTTTTCTATGAGTGTGAGCCGGTTACGTAATTGACCCGCTTCAACTTTGGACTCCTCTAGACGACGTTCCACTTGACGTGCTATTACCTTCAGATGAAATTAATTACAAGATTAAATAAGTGTTAGATCATAATTAAAGATAAGATAATATATTTAATGTATACCCATTGTTCGTGTGCTTTTGTTTCAAGAACAGAAATTTGGTTTTTATATTCTCTTTCTTGATCTAATATTTCCCGTTTCAACATTTCTATTTGTTGCCTAAAATTCGATTATAAACGGGAATTACACAATGTAATAATGAAACAGTTTTAAGATTAAATATCACACGATTCATTGATACCTACTTATAATTTTGTATTTCAGCTTGCATCGTTTGTATTCGTTCTACAGTGGATACAACTTCACCTTGCTGTTGTAACCAAATAGCTTCCTCTCTGTAATAATACATTTTTGCACATTGATCAAAATGATATTCAATATGTTAATACAATTTAACAATTAAAATCACTTTATATTACTTTTGTCTTTGGGCCTCCTTTTCTTTAAAGAAACTTGATAAAACTTCGAGACGTGTTTCTGCATCTTTTTTTTCCTTTTCTGCTGCTTTGCATTGTTCACTTAAAGTAAACACTTCTTCTTTGATAACCTTCATATGTTCTGTAGTTTAAAAAGAGTATACTTAATATTTTTCACATTATGTGAAAATACACAAAAACATACCTTCTAGTAAATTGTGAGCACCTTCGACTTCTGCTAGTCGTATTTTTAGTTCGTTCCTTTCTTCAAGTAAAGTTGTTGCTTCTGCCTTAATATGAGTTACATTATATAACTTTTCTAAATCCAAGTTAGAATTTAGTCGATTGATAACTTCCATGAGATCTGCCGTTTCCACTTCTTTATGTTTCAATTCTTTTTGTAAGGTTGTCTTTTCAATAGAAATCTATAAATAAAAATAAATAAAAGAAAATTGTTGTTAATTATATTATTTTAATATTCAATAATAATGCTTTTTATGTGCTACTCGGTTATTAATGTATACTTACTTCCTTGATTTGCATTTCTAATTCCTGAACCTTATCAGTCAATGTTTGCTGCACATTATTCTTATTATCCACTTCAAGTTTCAAATTCTCTGTTACTCGAATAAGCTCAACTTCAAGCTCTTCATATTTCTTTTTAAAGGATGCAAGTTCTGCTGATAAAGATTCATTCTGTAAAATATTTGATGTTGCATTAGATTCATATAAATAATAATATTATGTAACTTATAAAATGTGTACAATCACAAACCTCGAGTTTATCAAATTCAAGCTGCGAATAAATTTATATGTCATAAAATAAAATTAAACATATTTTATATATATAAAAAAATGATGATGTTTTACATGTAATTTAAGTATTAACACATACCTCTTGAGTTTTTAGGTTAAGAGCATTGGTTAAAGATTCATTCGCGACTTGCTGAGCATTTAATCTTGTTTGTAGATCCTCTACCGACTGAGCTAATGGATTAACTTCATTATCAGAGGAAAGAATTTCCCGTAGCATTCGTTCCAATTCTAACCCTGCCTCAGTAGCGTTTTCTAACTCTTTTTCCAACATGTAAACTTGATCTTCTAGTTCAGCTTTTGCATTCTATGAGAAATTATCAAAATATACATAAAAATATTTCTATAAATTATTTTGTTAACTCATACATTCTTCATTATCTATTTACTGAATTATGAACATTTTTATAAATTTAAATATTTTACCTGAGATGCTTCTAAATCAGCTTTTAAAGAAACAACCATTTCATTGGAACCGAATGATTCATCTTCGATACATGTCAACTGAAATGCATATTTTTAAAATAAGAAATATTCATCAGTACAAAATTATTAGACTGCATAAAGGCAGAGTATATCATTTTTTATTACCTTATCTTTCGTTATTTTTAAATTTTCTTTTAACATTAAACTTTCTGTTGTAGAAACAACTAATTCCTTTTCAAGATTATTGATTCTAGCTATCAATTGCCCATCTCTCCTCATATTCTGTAAAAAAAACATATGTACACACATAAATTATATACATATTCTAAGTAGTCTTCTCACAAGTTACATTTAATACCTCAATGTAATAATATCCTAAAGAGAATACAAGCGTTGCAGCAGCAGTAATAATTAGATACATGAATGTCATCCAATAATTGTTTGCTATATTTGTGACCTCAACTTCACCTTCAATATTTTCAAAAATCTCACCCTGAAATAATGTGTAAAATGAAGTATATAGTTTAGTTTATGCATTAATATTGAAAACGTGATTAGTGCTTACATTATCAATAAAATCAGTTTGAGAATTATCTTTAATAGAGCATTCAATATTATCAACTGCACAGACCTCAGGAGAAGCAACCGCTGTAAAATTGATAGAGATTAGTAAAAAGTATTTTTTAAAGTACAACATATGATAGTATTATTAATGTAAATAATTTAGGAATGTACTTTGTTCTGTATGCAAAATATTTTCTGATGTTGCCTCTTTTACAGATATACTATCTACAATATATGAACTTTCATATAAATGTTTATCTAGAACTCTTGCATCATCTTTCTGTTCAGGTAAGTCTTCGTTCTTAATGTGTTCAGGTTGATCTATTATTACATTTTCTACTTAATGCAAACATAAAATCTTTTTTAATTTAATTTGCATTATAAATTTGTTTAAAACATATCAAGTATTCAATACTTACCAATTTCATACTGTTCTCCTGTATCAACATTCAATAAATTTCTGTTACGAAATTCATTAATGCTTGCTACATTTTCTGAAATTATACTTTTTTCATTAGAATACAATAATTCTGTCGGATTCAGATTAGATTCATCAATTTCAGATAGATGATGTTCATTTGACCCATGAGGTACTTCAGTAGAATCAGAATTGTTGTTCAAATTTGGAACTTCTTTGTCCACATTACTTTCCACAGTATTATCTACTATTGCTGGTTCATTTACAGTTGTATTTGTGTGTTTGTCAGTAGAATACTGAGCTTCATTTTTTATATCTGTTTCACTAATCTCTTGTAATTCTTTAGTATTATTTTCTGCATCAGTGATAACAGAAATACCAGTGTCTTTATTTAAATTTTGTGTTGTATCTGAAAAATCAGATAAACTAGCTGTATGAGATACCACTTTACTATCTTTTGTACCAGTGTTAATACTACTATTATTATTATTTTTTTGAGTTCTGTATCATGTGAATTAAACAAAATTTTAGTTTCTTGGTTTTCTACATCAAAAATTACTTTCACTTCAGCAGTTTTGAAAGAATATTCGATGCTTCAATTACAAAAAGTAGTTTTAACACTGACATAAAAAATCTTTTCATCTTTGCCTCCTTCAATATGAGGAAAAAGTAATTATGTTGTATTACTCGTACCTGATTCCATTGACAAGGAAGGAACATGATCAACATTATGGTGAATTGAACTATTTTCAGAAGCTTTATCATTTTTCCTTAATTCAGGGGATGTTTCTAACAATGTAGTATTGTCTAGAGAATGGACATGTTCTGTACCAGTAAGTTCACTAACATTTTGAGCAGCCTTTGCATCTATTTCAGAACTGTTCACTGAAACTGTCTGAATTGAATTAGTATTATCAGTTTCATTTAATGCAATAACTGGCAATTGTATATTTTGTTCTTTAGAAATAATGTGTTCTTCCAATGACTGTGTATCTTTTATCTCTATAACAGATTGTCCTCCTGATAACTGCATATCTTTTTCTTTAGGAACAGAATGCTCATCCAGTGCCTGTTCATCTTGTTTTTTGGGACCGATGTGTTCTTCTAATGGCTGTATATCTTTTATGTCGGGAACAGGTTGTTTTTTCGACGATTCTACATCTTTTACCTCTGGAACAGACTGTTCTTTCGACGATTCTACATCTTTTACTTCTGGAACAGAGTGTTTTTTCGACGATTCTACATCTTTTACCTCTGGAACAGACTGTTCTTTTGACGATTCTACATCTTTTACCTCTGGAACAGACTGTTCTTTTGACGATTCTACATCTGTTACTTCTGGAACAGACTGTTCTTTCGACGACTGTACATCTTTTACCTCTAGAACAGACTGTTCTTTTGACGATTCTACATCTTTTACTTCTGGAACCGACTGTTCTTCTGACGATTGTACATCTTTTACCTCTGGAACAGACTGTTCTTTCGACGAGTATACGCTTTCTGACCCTGTAACTTTCTCTTCTGCAATCTGTTCTGTATTCTGTTTAACATTTCTATAGAAATAATTTTTTATATTAGCACTTAGATCCAGCGATGGAATCTTTATTCCATTTATCTCTGGTAAATCTAAAGTTTCTTTAGAACTTTTCACTAAACTATTAACATCATCTTTCTGAGAAATGTTCTGATCATCATTTACTACTTCACCATTTAAATCTTTTTCTGGTGGTGTCTCAGTGTTTGTAAAAATAATATCATTTTCTTTGCTAGTAGAATCTGCTCCTAAATGAACAAGTACATCTTCTTCGCTTGGGACTACCTTCGTTTGTAGAACTTCTGTCACAGGACTTTGTTGTATGGAAGATTCATTATGATCTACAGGCAATCTTGTACCATCTATAGTTTCATATGGGGGAGTAACACTATGTGGCAGTTGTTCCACAGATTTGAAATCTGATTTTTTATTTGAAGTTTTATCATTTCGTGTGACAGGCTTTAACTTATCAGTAACTTTTTTAGACTGATGTCTCTTAGATTCATTATTATTATTAGATAATAGCTTAGTAGGCACCTCATGACGTAACTCAGGTTTCAAAACTCTAACTTCTTTCAAAAACCTTTTTGGCACATATCCATGCCTTCCATTTATCTACAATCAATATCAATAAAGACTTTTAATTGTATTTATAATCTTACATAATCTAATTTATTGGTTTAAAAGAATATTGTTTTCAAGAAATTAAGTATATAGCAATTAATAATTAATGTATGAATTAGATACATTTATATGGGTATTTCAGAAATAATTAAGACTAATACAGAGATAAAAAATTAATAAACACTTAAATATACCTCAACACCCCATAAATCAGTCCTGTTACCTGCTCCTTTACTGTAAACTGTGACATCGACATTAATATTAAATGATAACATTCCATCTTCATTTGCAGTGTAAGCGAGTACCGTTTTAGCTAACGAAATAGGTTCTGTATACAAGACATCATTAAATAACATAAGTGGATTTATGAAAGGAATGCGTTATAAATTAAGTACATATTGTAGGTAAAGTATGGCTTCAATTACCTGAACAGTCAGGGTCAAAACATAATCGTTTGTCTGATAAAGCAGACCAACACTGCGGTATTGCACTAAATATTATTGCAATAAGTACAAATACTACATCAACAATTCGGTTTCTTTTCTTCATATTTCCACTATTGCAAAGTTCCACATCACTACTAACACACAATGACACAATCCTGGACGCACATTTTAATCTCAAAGTAGATAATAATAAGAAGGCATATCAGACAGTGCATTTAATTCTTAAAACCACGAACACAGTGAACTCTTACAGAGGTGAAAGTGAAGAGTTTTTCGAAACCAATCTCCAATGCGCATGCGAAAGGAAATTATTTCTTGAATATACCACAGAACTGCATAATAACTATAACGTATACATCTGAAAAAATATATTCCATGAACTAAATAGTTCACGGATGTCACTGAGAGCTTGAACATGTAACCAATGTGTCGGTAATATCGATTTCTACTTTTAGATAAAATCAATTTCTGTTTGTTATTAGAAATCGTTTAATTATACATTTTAAATTCTTTTGTTAATATCCGTAATATTCTTTTTGTAAATAGTCAGTTAGAAACAATCCGTCATAGAAGTTAATCGATCAAATATTTCATCATTATAATTTAGTGAACACTGTAAATAAATAATACATTGAATGAAGAAACACGCCACAAACAGCTCTTAGAGCAGGGATATTCAACTAGGAATTCGTGAGTTCTCTAGGGACCTCCCCTCATGGTGAGTTAGGTACTTACCCTTTTAAATAAATATTTAAGTACCTTGGCAGGTATGGAGAGGGTGATTTTTCGTGAGGGGAGTGTCACTAGAGTACCTGCAAACAGCGATTTAACATCCTTGCCATAGAAAGTGATGAAAATACTGTGTATAAAAAAATAGCAACACCGTTTCATAGTTGTGCTTCAAGGTCACCCAATTTGGGGAGACGAACATCAACGATTTGAATAAAAAAATTTGATTTCCGTGAAACTATACTGTGACAAAACATTTCTCTTGACAATTAGAAATCGTAAGCAAAAAATCTTGTTGCACGAGACATCTATGCAATTTTTAAGTCTGTGGTAACCACTACTTATTCTTTTTCACGCACGCAGCCACCACATATCGATTCAAGTGTGATAAAGTAACCGTCAATTTTGCACGAGCGTCAAAACTGTCATTTGCATTTTTTGTGTGAAATAATTGTTAATTTATTAGTCGTTATGGAATCTGCTATCATACACTTGGAACAAAGTGTAAGTATAATGATCAATCATTTTCTATGTGTATGCATTCTAAATTTCTTTTTTTCATAAATTTTGTTAGACTATCAATTTCTTATTTGATCGTGATTATAAATATTGAAAGATTAAATGTCACTGTGATGTGAATGTTTTGTTAATTTCCTGAACTCGATAGGTTAAGCAAGCTGATGGAAAATTGGATATGATCGCGTGGCAAATTGACTCTTTTGAAAAGCAATGTGAAAATCCGGATGATGAGGTATGTTTTGCTTAAGGTAATTGTAAATTATGAAATGCAAAATATATAAAAATGTGAATATATTTTAGAGATAACTAATAAAAATAATGATTCTGTGACTTCGATTTCAAATTGTAGAAAGTTCTGTATTTTAATAATTTAAATTTGGACTGAGTTGACACACTGCTAAATTATTGAAATACAAGACCGTTTGCAACATACAAAGATAAACAGTCAAGCAGTATATATGTTTATTATAAACCTCATCATTCTACATGTATGCTATACACTTTATATTTCCATATTTACCTTCATACCACGCGGTTATGCTTGTTCGTCTCACGGACGCGTTCACGTATATAGAAATCAATGTAGTAGTAGCAAAAGTTTTTCGCGATTATTTTCGAAACGAAATGTCAGCGACATTTTTTTCAAAGGAAAAGTTGTTCGAAATGTGCAATTCTTGCAATATTTCTTATATTATAAAACTATGAATAATAATTATTTCTTTAAGATGCTATTAAAAATTTGTTTAATTTTGTAATATCTTGTTTAATATTACTTACTCTTTTATAATAATGACAGATAGTATTGGAATGAATTATTAGTGATTTGCTAGTTACTAAATATTTTTATTCTATATCAATTTTCATACTGTAATTGTTTTCCACCAATTTGGAAATTCCAGTCATTGGCAACCACTGTGACAGTCAACTTATTAATATAGTAATGGTTTATGTTTTTTGGGTCTTACTTTTTGTTTCAATTCTCTATTTTTCTCACACTTTGTGATGCAATACTAATTGTTTAACTAATCTAAAGAATTGTAATTTAATGCTTGTATTATACTTTGGATCAATAGTTACATTTTGTTTTTAAGTTATTATTTATTTTGTATTTTTTGACAGATCTCAGTGCTTCGTCTCTTAAGGGCTATTCATCAAGTTACAAAAGATTATGAGAATCTTCATCGAGAAATATTGGAAGTGCAACAATTACAAAAACAACTTTCAGATTCACTTCAAACGCAATTGTCCCAGGTTGTTGGACAGTTTAATTTGCTACGTAACAAGATTGTAGAACAACATAAAAATCCACATTTGAAATAAGATTAGAATATGTAGTGAATCTTTTCATATTTTCTCAATTCATTATTTATATTCACTTTATTTTCATAAACTGTTTTTAAGTTCTTTAAAAAGCAATTTAATAATTTGAAAAATATTTTGAGTATTAATAGTTAATAAATAACATGTATTTACTATCTGTATAGTTAAGAAAAACTATCACAAAATGTGTTTGATACTACTGAAATAAAATATTAAATTGTTTTATTAATGAAACTATTAGTTTCTTTAACTTTTAATTTTAATATTCTTGCATATAATATGCATACATGAATAGTATAATGTTAACTTCATTTGCATAATATCTGTATTTATGTCCTACAATCTCATTGAGAAATTATAATAGATGCAATATTTTAATTAATGCATTCTATGCACATAGAAATGAAAAATTCATTTAACTCATGCATGCAGGTCTTATTTATTATTTAGTGGAAATTAGTTTCTTTAATGATCATTTATATTTTAGTGCATACATTTTTAAACTACTGTATCCTAAGTACCACAATTCTATGGAAATCTCTCAATGTACCAGTTGTGAGCCAATTTTAAGGATATAGATAGTTTATGATTGAATAACTATGTTTATTTATTATGGATTCAAACTTTATTACTCATCTATCATTCAGTGACAAATACATTTTGAATAATTTTATGATATATTATAAAACCACCTGTATCTCTTCAAGCCTCATGTGTTACAGTTGATTGATATACAAAAGTCAGCAATTTTATATTAAATTTATAGTTGAGATGCAGTGTGCACATTATTATAAGTGTAAAACAATTTGATTATTGTTATGCTCGATTTTACTTTCACCTTATTTACCTTATCTTCTATTTTCGCCTAATCTAATTCAAGCTGTGTTACAAAATAAAGAAAAACATGAGAAGTTTTATGATGTATTAACAATTGGCATAACTGTAAACTTTCTAGCATTTGGGTCTCAAATTCAAGGTTTTGAAAATGTTATGTGCTTATATATACTCTCGATTTATTGTTACTGCTATTTTATATTCTTAAGTTTTATCATTTATTTTTAAATAGTATGGGATCAACATATTGACAAATAATTTATTTGACTTCCTCCGTGAGTGCGATATTGGGGCCAATCTATATGTTTATATATCCGCACAAAATGAAAGAACCAGTAAGATTTAAAGACATTACTTTTGTGTTTAGACGATGCATTAAGTTTTAATACTTTATACAATTTATTAAGAAAATTAGTATAATTTATGTCTTAGTGAATGAAACCTTTTTCACATCTTAACCCTTATGTGCTACAGTCGGTCTGTCGGATTGTACAATATTTTTATTTGTTTACATTTTTCTTTGCGCATAACTTATAATGTTGAAACTTCATGTAACTTTCAATCAAAATGACATACAAATGATAACAGACAATTATGGAAAACAAATTTTTAATATATTTGTTATAGTTTAATCAAACTTGGACCCTTTTATTATTACTCTAATGAAGATATAACAATTGGGTTTATTCCTTATTTTGTATTTGTATGTAAGTAATAATACAATAAATATTAGCGGTTTATAAGACCGACTATAGTAGTTATGTAAGTTTTTACATCCATAGTATTTAAGGGTTAAAGATATTTTTCTTAGGGAATTTAAAGTTTTTTGTAAATAATGAAATTATTTATTTAGTGTCATACTAATGACTTTTGGTTTTTTTTTAATCAAAATATTTGATGCTGATTACTTCGTGGCATTTTCGAAACGTGTGTTATATTTATAATTCTCAATTTATATAAACTGTGTGATAATAGTGCCAAAGTTGATATAAAATTTTGTTTCTATATATTGCATAGTATAGTCTTTGAGGGTTAAATGTATGTATGTACATCTATAACACATATATACTAAATGACAGCACAATAATATGTATATTTTAAAGAATGTTCAATCGAATTTCATTATTATGACGTTAAAATTGTAATTTCTACTCAATGTATTGTAAACTACTAGCAGTTACTACTACTCCTTATTTCTACATTTTACATAACTTTATTAGAATATTATCAAATACTCAAAGAGTTCACAACGGTGTTATCTTAGCTGAAATTAGTAATACTTAACATGGTCTTTCTTTTTTCTAGAAGATGATTCTATCTAAAAGAATCCATTCTGTATTTAATCATAACATGTAAGATAGATAGATAGATTCTTGAATTGAATGGATTATATACATATACATTAAAATATACGTATCTATGAATTATTTTTTGTAATCAACAAACTAATTTTCTGTGCTGTTATATTTTGAATGTATAATTTATGTGTATAGAAATTCTATTTGTTGTGATTCATAAGATTTTACTTAAAGTAAATGAGATTTATAGTATGTATGTATCTGTATAACATAGAAGAAAAGGGAAGTGTATTTTACAACACAAGAGTAATGATAAAAATATGCAATGCTTAGGCTTGCATACATTAGGTTACAGAAAATAACATTGCCTTAAGACACAAGTGTGCGTTTAATGAGCTACATGAACTATGTTGAAATGAAGTGCATGTTATTAGAATGTATTTAAGAAGGAAAAGTCTGTTACATAATGATATGAAGGATATGTCTTTCCAAACATAGTAATTGGTCAACTACGTGAATTTCAAGGAAATGTTTTTCTTCTGTCTTGAAAGATCAAATTGTTTTCTGATTTATCTGATACGTTTGTAAATTGGCTTGAAATTTACGTTTATTAAGTTTGACAAAAGATATAACATTCAATTTTAGAATAGATATTCAAAATATTTACTAGGAAGAATTTTTCTACACAATTTAATATGCACATAGATTCTTCCTTTTCGTTTCTGTTCATTTTTGTTCTTTCATTAGTAAGAAGAAAGTAACAAAGATGTATATTATATTGTTTTTATAGCATTTTCTTGAATAGAGTAACTGAGTTTTGTGACTTGAAAACTGTTACCTGTGTACCCTATTCAAACTTAAAATTCGATCACCTATTAAACGTAAACACACTTTCTGAAAAATCCCTCTAAGTCAATACTAATAATTTGGAAAAGAAAATATTTGTGATACTCAGTGACTCACACGTTTATCAGGACTAATTTATATTTCAGTTAACTTGTCATATGTTTTATTAAATATGAAATCAAATTCAGATTCTGCATAAGGGATGTTAACTGAAAATATAAATCAGGTCCTAGATTGACCTCTAGCCTTTACCTTAAGCAATTAGATTTGATCTATACAGAACTGTATTAATAATACATATATGTGTAACTACATTGGCAGCGGCGTCAATCACAGTCACGTGTTACTTTATTTGTATTAGCATTGATACTTTTGGTATTAAATTAACAATTAAACTGATTGATCAGTTTCTATTGTATAGTCATAGTGAATTATTCTACAATAAAATAATATTTACTTATTCCACTGTCTTAAAAAAATAGTTTGAAAAGATACATAAAACAGAAAATTCACCGATTAAGTATCAAGGTCAATTTTTGCCGTTGGAATGTTGACAATAATCCATTTTAATACACGGTATGACCGGTAGTTTCCGTGCAAGACGTTCAGCCTAATTATAATTAATTCTAATTAAACACTTAGCGTAATTATAATTAAACAGAAAAGCACCATAGATCATTTCCAAAAGTTAGTAGTTGAGTACCTGAAGGTATTCAAATGTGTGAATATGGAAAATATTGCTTTCTGATATGATACGCATAATTGCTTGTTGTTTAAAATTTGAAAAAGTGAAATATATCAAACTCGTGCCGCAAAAGTTGCAAAATTGCCGGTCTTGAACGTGTTAATTGTTTGTATTGCTTCTTAAAATATCTCCGTAATAAATTTTGATACCTTTGAGCATCAGGATTTGAGAGAGGCGAATAATAATAATGAAATACAACCTAATAATTACATTACAATCTATATGTTTACTAAAGGTTTTCTGAAATTTCTAGATTTTTAATACAAATTTATATTTTTTCAATCTTCATGCATATTTATTTAGATTAAGAAATCGTTGGATTTTCAACATATTAGATTATGTTTGAATATGTACATTTATAATGCATTAGATTATGCGAAAAAATAGAGATTTCATTTAGAAACATTTAAACTAATCCATATTAGTTACCAGTGAGAACGAACGCTTTTATTAGCCAGTTAGAAAAACACTAAATTTCAGTTTATAATTTATATAATTTCAATAGCGGTGAAATTAGATATTTCAATTCGTTCGATTTAAACTGAAGATTCGTGGTACCGAAGAATCAAGTATTTATTTATTGTAATTGATAAAATAATGCGTTAAAACGCACGTGACTTTGATGGGGCGGCGAATAGTTTGTAGTGCTGATTGAAAATGATTTTAGAATAGATGTAAAGTATAAGTTAAGAGAAAAATGGTCTGGAACACATTCAAAACGTGCCAAAAAAGCTTTGGTCAATTACTAATCATACACTATTTTGTTTCTTTAACACCGATCTTTCGACATCGGCGTTTCTCTGTAGTCTACATATCACATTCTCACAATTTTCGGGAGTCTATTTCCCTTTTTACTCGTAATATTACGAAAAATCTTGATGGTCCTTCGTTTAAAATCAAATCGAATGTTGTTATTGTGCAAGGAGTACTTTATTAAAAACGTTGCGTATTCATGGATACTCGATAAAACACGTTTTCATATAAAAATAATACAATTTCGTTTCAAACGTTTGCATTCTTCGATGAATTTAAGATCCTGTTTAGCAATATCCTCATTGCAGCGAAAAATGCACGTTTCTATTAACTACACAGTTTTCAGTAAATCGCGATTAATTCTTAAAAACAGATGAATAATTTATGAAATATGTTACACGATATCTTACAAAATTATTGTTGTCATTATTATAGCGTTCGTAAGTTTTACGATTACAATTCAAATGTAAAGAAAAATGTGATGGTATTAAAAAAAGCCGAGCTTCGGACTTAATAAAGGTTCTTGCACACTTCTTCTGTTTCTAAAGATGTTAAAAGATGAATCTTTAATGCATGTTTCACGATTAGATGAAGAAATAAGCGTCAATGTATCGACTACTATCTTGTACAAGTTCTTAATTGTTCAAACATTCGAACCAGTCGGTTTGCGAAATTTGTTAACGTTGATTCCGGTCTGAAGTATATAGTTTATTAGCTGTGCTCGATTGCGTGCAAGTGTAATCGTGTAATTGGTACGGTAATCAATGCACGCGCCACTTTCGCAATGTTCTATTATTACTCTATACAATGAGTTACAAATGTTCGTTTCGTAAACGATGAACGTTTCGTTAAAAATATTCAGACAGGAATTACGTAATGTAAGAAACGAATCAAAATGTGAAAAACTGATTAATCGCTTATCCATTGTATTATACACGATTGCTCAATCCTCTGGTGTATGTTAAACGAAATTGTAACGCGACAAGAAAATTGTATCTTCTTAGATATTTATCACAATATTATACAATAAATTGTTAACACTGTAGCAAAACATTAATGAGAACTTATTCTCGCCCAAATAATTTTCCTTTTTCTTTCGAGGTAATTGTGTTGGCATACTTTTCTATTAAAACACTATTTGGGTATTTATAAGCTACAATTTAATAATACACGCGAATGATATTGAGAGAAATTATTTAATTAAGTGAACATTCATGCGGTTAAGTAATTCCGTGATCTTCTCGGAGCAACATAGTTCAAGTAAAATTAAGGAGAATTAGTTCCACGCTGAAGAAAGAAAGAAATTTCCTTGTATCCAGTGGAATTTTGTTGAAACGTCTAAGGAAAGTACAGTGACCCGAAGAGCATATCATCAGCAAATCGAGTGGATCCACCGTGTCGATTGGAAATTCACGAGAAATCATGCAGGCAGAATCAGTCTCTGAGACGATTTGTAATTTCCTTGTCACAGTGTTTGCGTTGCGCCGAAGAACCAGGTACTTTCTGCACTTTACATTTGGAATAGTCGACACTAAGTGTTAGACTCTAAAGCTATCGGTTAAAAGTACGAGAATACATGTTTGATATATTTTAAACTATAGTGCTATCGTAATAACGTTAAAAGAGCTTAGGAAACAAGAATTAATTTGAATAAATAAACACAATTCATAATATAACACGAGTTATAAGTGTTAATTCATATATTTAACGCTAGAACTACCGAGCGTTTAATACGATTAGCGTGTCATACTTATAAGACTTGCAACAATAGATTCAAGATAATTTCGGATATTTAACACTTCTAAGATATCGGTAACTGCGAAATAAGGAAACTGAAACCCGCCATTTTGTCGGGCGCGGTGGTTCTAACGTTAAGAAAATATAACCTCTAATTTAGTCAGATTTCTTCGATCCAGCGGAACTAAATTCGATTACTTACGAAGTACTGGCTTTATTATGGAAAAATCACTGCTAAATAGCAATGAAATATTTGTAAATTTGTTATTTTAAATATAAGTATTGTAGATTCAACGGGTTCATTACTTAGTGAACGCTGTTTTGCGACTCGCGTAAACGTCAATGCCCCCGTTCGTTTTTTTCACCTAACAATAAATGTTCTGCTCAATTTGCGGTCGATTGTCACGAGAAAGTATGACCATCAATGATCAGATGTCAACGTACTTGTTTCCAACAGGAAATACATTACCATTTTGTCCGTTGTCAAGTCTACGAAGCATAATTTGAGGATCGCGCATCATTTCTGAGCGCTTAATTAACTGTCTCATATTGGCGATATTAAAATAATTTCCACGGGTGTTATTTCTATGAATTTCCGGGTAAAAGTTCCCATGACAAGGACAATTACTCGCGGCGAAGCATTCTATTAAAATGTAAATCGTTATGTCACTACACCTGCACCTTTCTAATCATTTCCCAGAAATAGTTTGTACCACGCTGCGAATCCTAGATTCAAGCTCCGATTATTGTTTGCAGAAAAAACTGAATTACGATTGAATTTTTTGATAATCGATGAATTACTGTTATCTACTATAGGTACTGACCTTAGGCTGCACGGGATTGAATTCGGAACTGGATTATTACACAAAAATTAGCAATATCATTGCTACTTATATTATTGGTGTACTAACTATTATTATATAGTAATTACATAGTAGTGTAACTATCTCCACTACTCATACTATTTTCAAATTTAATCAATTTTTCCGAATACTTTAGATAACAGAGATAATATATTTTGAATATTTTGCATTCAGGGAGCGTTTGAGCAGCGTTCTCTTTAGTTTTTCTAGAGTTAATACGAATCTACCCGCCGCTAAGCCTAATGAGCCTAATGTCTCGAAGAAACGCTGATCAATGCTTTCAGATGCTCTTTTATTTTAAGCACTTCCTATCTAGGAAGCGATCGGGAACGCCTACGGATGTAAGCTTTTCCCTGGAAGTCGCGTAGACGCGTTTGGCGAGCCGTATCGTTGGTCACAGGTAGAGATGGGATCAAGTTCGACAAGTTGATATCGGTTTCGATTCGTGAAACAATTACGAACAACCGAAATAATATGCGATTAACGAAACTGTCGATATTTATGTGATATTTCAAAAAAATGATCGGCAATCGTTTGACATTTCCCTCTCGAGTGTTACTTTTCATTCGTTATGTATAGGTAAAGTGAAATCAACAGATCTAATGAATAAATGTATTGAGAGCAGGAACTTGTTGTTGTTCAATAAAGAATTATATCGTTGTCAAGCAATTCGAAAGCTCCGGTCATCGGTCACTATGGCGGCCAATACTTTAACGCTAAACGTACTACGACCGGTCAATCGACCGGTTTACGTCAAATAAGGGCCATACATGTGCTCCCGAATTCAAATTCATAAAAGTTGGTAGACAAACGCCGGTAAATAAACTATTTAGACGAATATTCAGTTACCCACAGTGAACAGAGGAAAGAAATTTCTATTCCATTCGATTTCCTCCACTTCGTCCATGAACATCCATACACGTATTTGCATAAACATCCGCAGTCTATTCTCATGAGGTGTTCGAAGCTGTCCGATCGAGATTCGAAACTGCCTACATACGATATAGTTGATCCCATCTCTAGCTGCCGCGAGTCGTGCCGCGAATACAAGCGAATGGCTCGTTCTAATGACCTACTCCCACGTGACGACGAGGGTCCGTGCTCGGCTTCGAGCAAAGTCGAGTTCAGTCGTCGAGTGACCGGGGTCTGGGCCTTTTCCGTGGGCCTGATTCACCCGGTGCCAGAGACGTGCCCACTTCCGAGGCAGCAGGCGCTTTCGTTCCTTTCTCGCGGACGGTACGCGTACACCGCAGACTTTTGACCCTCGATGTTGGTTCAGTGCCGTGAGAGGAGGTGTCGAGTTCCGTATTCCCCGCGGCCGCAACGCTAACAATTAGAAAAGGAAGAGCTGTAGACCGAGGAAACGGGGCGATATCGGATTCGTGAGAGCCAAGCAGGTATATCGGATGTTTTAGGTATTACTATTAGAATATTAACAGTTAAGTGCCATGTCAATCACTGATCACTGGCGCTTCTGAATTACTTGAAAACAATCGTAACATGCGAGACCGATGTACAATGAAAATGTTTAACCCTTCGCACTTGGAAGTTTTTCAGTAGAAACATCTGAACATTTTCTGATGAGATAAAGACGATATTTTGAAACTGATTCGAAGAGAAATCACATACATTGAGGAACAAAGCTATTTTATTTCAATATTTCTCAAATTGATGCGTTATACAAGGATGATAATAAATATCAAATTTTATAGTTTTACTGTATGAAATCAAACGAGTGAGGTCACTTCTCTAGTGCAAAGGGTTAATAACGTAACTAAGCTGATAATAGTGTAATGCAAGGATTGTAACGTCAAATAATCAATAATCGTACCTGCGATTCTTTGCTACAAAAGAATAACTACGGAAAAACGGTCAAGATTTTCGTGGCGCTTAAAGTGTTAACCCTTTGCACTCGAGAGGTGATTCTTAGTCGGCATTTGATCAATATTTTATATTGAATTTTTCATTTTATCATTTTGCTGTGTTCCATAAAATGACGACTGAGAGTCGCCTGTAGTGCAAAGGGTTCAGAATTAACCGGTACGCAATGTGTTCTTCAGTTGTCTTTATTATGTGAGTTCTTTCGCAGATCGAAATGCTGAATTTCACTTTTCGAATGTGCTCAAATTTCACTGCCAAAACTATTGAATTGTTCTTTCGTATGTATAGAATCTCATCAAGTTTTTCTGCTTTTTATCCTGTGGCATTAACTTCAGCTCATATTCAAAATAATTATTCATCCGTTTGCATGCTTTATTCGGGAGATAACGCGAGATAGCACGTATTTACAATATTTCGTGTTTTTCTTGTATCAGAATGGAAGAATTATCATCAAAAGTGTTAAAATTCGTGTATGATGTTTACAAAGGCAGTATTTTATCGGGAAGAGTTGTTTATAATAGTTAGAAAACATAAATTACACGGTGAGAGGTTAAATTCATGCTACTAACGATAGCAGAAAATAAAATATTAATTAATATATAGATAATTAATGGTACACTGTACAGAGATTAGTGGAAACGTTGCAAACGTCGAAAACTTTTGTAACAGGCAATTACGATAAATATCAAATTCTTTTCGGTGGTTACAATAAAATTAACACTAAAACTGCCAGACAATTCAAAATCATCCATTCCTGATGTCTCTTTTTGCAATTATTAAGAAGATCACAGATGTTTCTCTGAGAAATTATTTAAAAAATTGATTTACCCATACCCAAATTAAATTGTAAATCAATTAAAGTCTCAGTAGATGCACTCCTGGAGTTTCTATAAAGAAATTTCAAAAAGTCAATGTAACTGCTCGGTAGTTTTAATGTTAAGGGTTCAAGTAGTGTCACGAAATTTATAAACAATCTGATACTCGTAATACTTGGTTCCATTACTAGAGTACAGTGAGATTTCTCGGAAACTGCTTTTTAGAGTATTCTCGAGTCGCCACGTATTAGATGTTAGGTATGCCTTTCACAGAGTTACAGCCTACCTACTTTCAAAATACATATTCAATTCAATTACTAGTAACTAGAGTGCGACTCATAGGTGAAGACTGATATCCAACTTTAGAAAATGGTTATTTCATGAAATCAGAACGCGAGGCAGGTAATAATTATATTTATAATTTTCTATCAGTGACAATCGTTATCTTCAGATATTCAAAATAAACATTAGAATTATCATTACATTAGAATTTATCTTGATTATTTTATCACATCTAATAATGATAATGTAATGGCACCTTGAGTAGTAATTGATCGATTTATTTTGAAAGTGGCTTAAGCCTACTTCTCAAAGAAATCAAAAAAGATGAAGAATCAATTAAAGAATAAAATGTAGAATTGTAATTATTACAACGATTAACTTGATTTCTTAAGCAACTTTCAAAATGAACGCTTCAATTATAATAAATGCAGTCAAATATTGTATATTGTAATTCTCATTATAAATGTAAATCGGTATTTCGATCTTAATCACTATCAGACAATGATTACCATTGATCAATCCATATACACAGCCTTCCACGCGACTCGGATTATATTACACTGATCAGATACGAGAAAAAGTTGAAAAGACAAAACTGTATCTTGCCCAGAGTGCTTAACGGATGAAGTAAACGGTAAAGTAAACGGTAAATTAGCTACAGCTTTGACGTAGACGAGAGAAAGATGAAAATATTCCGAAATATTTATGGTTATTTTGAATATGGATTTCATAGTATTAGAAAATAACGTGAATGTATATTTTGTGTCTCGAATCGGCATATTTCATTTATAGGAGAAATGTAATTTTCATAACACGTTCGTACAACGATATTAACGAAAATCGTTTCTAATGTAATGTCGAATCATGTACGTTGCTACGCTGTCATTGCATATCGAGTGTAATCTTTTAACATAAACACTCTACTTCCATTCAAGTCGCTCAGAAGCCAATCTGGTTAAGTTAACTAATTGATATTTTCTGATTTTCCAAAATTCTAATGGAATAAATGAGTTGTTCAGAAACCAGGGGTTAAGTCCAGAAAACAAAAATTGAGGAAATTAATGTTCTAACTTCTGAAATGATAATACAACATGTTCAGAAATTATAAAAAGAAGAGCTTTGTCACCTAGAACAAACGAAGAGACGGTAAATTCTTGAATAACTAAAAAGAATATTATTTATTCCATTAAAATTGACAGAAATGAAAATATCAAAATATCTACTTAACCACATTAGCTTCTAAGCGACTCATTTCTTAAGTCTCCTGATGGGTCATATTTTACCAATATATATCCTTCCATTGTTTTATCATTTACGTTTTTCTTTTGCTTAATTGATATTCAAACTATTCAAAAGTCAATGCGGTTAAGTCCAGGAAAGAAAAATTGAGGAAATTAATGTTCTGGCTTCTGAAATGATTATCCAAGGCATTCAGAAGCTATAAAAAGAAGTCGTTTATATTAACAATATTTTCATTTGAAGTATCGTCGTGAATGAAAATATCATTATTTTATATTTGAAATGTTTAAATATATTTTACGTTGCAAAGTAAATATATTTTTTACGTTGGTTATTCATTTCGCTGTGTCCTTCTTCGCGGCTGCTTTCCAGTCTGTGAATCACCGTAATCTCGCAGCACTTTTAACTTCGGATCTATCATCATCTTGTAATCACGCTGTAATTCTCGCGTTCTTTATAAAGTGCAATGTTCATCACGGTTATACAGTAGAGAGTTCAGTTATACAGTGTTTATGCTGTTTTACGTATTCCAGAAAATGTCTATTTATAATTTAATCGGCGAAAACATATCAGGTTCATTGATATTTGAATCAAGTATCAAGTTTTCAACTTCCGTTTGAATTAATAAAACTTACTGCCGGAAAAACGAACGTTCTATTGTCAGAAGATTTTTGTTATGCGAACGCACTTGTCGCTCTATTAATTCGGACACTGGGTAGGCTGTACTGTATTTTGTTCTTCTTCCCACGTGGTGTTATTGTGACTTTGTTCATCTTTCGCCGTGACATGATTTTCATTGTCGACGGTGTCCATGGTTTTTTGTGATAGCAGTTTATATTTCTTTGGATCCCCTGCACGCGATATTCAAGTTAGCTGTGGTAACTCGGTTGCGAATCTTTGGACAATTGGGATATTTCTTACGGTGTAATTTGTAACATTTGGAGTCGTGAGATTGTAAAATATACTGAATAAGTATTATATATAGTGAGATTATAAAGTATATTAAATAAATATTATATATGGTGAGATCATAAAATATTCCAAGTAAATATTTGCACAATATTTCATATTATACTTGTATTATATTTGTATAATATTTCATAATACATTTCTATCATATTTATATAATATTTTACATTATATTCTTATATTCCTTATCATATATTACATAATAAAATAACATACCTAAATAATAGAGAATAATATTGTGTAAAACAAAATCGGTTAAGTAATTCTAGGATAATGATATTGCGAAAGTAATTGCAGAGAGTACAGAGAAATGAATCACCGTGTTCTCGAAATAAACCAAAACAAATATAAAATAATAAACTACAAAGATTGGAGTTCAACAGATCTGCACATTTTCTGTCAACGATCTCCATAAACGTTAACATCGAAGCAGAAACAATGTTAAATGAAATTGTACTTCATGTTACATTCAATTCCCGAGATTCATGATTGTTATAAATGCATAAATAAAAATCCGCAGTATACTGATAACGAGTTTACAGCAGTGGTAAACCTTGTAGCAACCGGTTTGCCAGTTTCTCTTTTGTGGCCAGTACTTCGTTGCCTTCCAGCCTGGAATGTTGTTCAGTTCAGATGCGAAGCTTTGTTAAAGTCTTGTATTACAGTCGCACTGTTTCCCTGAAAATCGTTGAATATTGTTTCGCATCGCACGGATTTGTTATTGTTATAAAAGGAATTGTTATGTGTTTGGGGGACAATTAAAAGTGGCGCAACATGCTCCTATAGTAATTAATATAAATAGAATCTTACATAGAATTCGATATTAAAATTGTAAATTTGGAGATATTTGTTTGGGGACGATACTATTTCACTGTAAATTGATAATATAAAACTATATAAAACTATTTAACCTCTTGATGTATTATTTACTTTCTCTATTGAGCTCGTATATTATACTATCGACAATTTGGAGGAAAAGCAACGAAATTTTCTGTTCTACTTTAAGCAGAAGTTTAATTTGAAGATAATACATGGATAATGGAGTTTCACTGGTTATTATATGACAAGGGGTTAAATCTATTTAAAAATGTATAAAACTACATAAAATTATTTAAAATCATATAAAACTATATAAAACTATTTAAAACTACATAAAACTACACAAAACGATTTATCATAGTTGAATAGATTGTTAGTTAGATTTATGCGTCGTTCTTCCAGGCAAAGAAATTCAGATTCAAATTAGTTGTCTCCAAATGGGTTGATAGCGATTAAATACATCGAATACAGTATAATCGGACTTAAACAAAAAATACTAATACAGCAACCGGGATGCTAAAAATAGGTGTTACCGTCACGATTAATTTACAGTGGAAATCGAGAAATTGCATAAACGAATCCGAAATGTACACGGGTATTGACCTTAGCCTGTTTTCAGCGAAGTAACGTTACCGTGAATATCTAAAACCTAGTTCAAGTCGAGCGACAATAACCGGATACACATATTCAGTAATTTAACAAGTGTAGGTAACAACATTTCTGTGACACGGTTGTCGTACATAAAACTGTTAAACTGAATGAGACGATTCGAAAGTTGTTACCATTACTACTAAACATATGTAAATGCAATAAATCATTAGGACACTTAATGAATTAAATTTAACGAATGAAAAACAATTAAGAAAATCAATGCAAAGAGATTGTTTCTGTCAGTGTCTTCTGCAGAAATCAAATTGAATTATAATTGTAATGCTAGTATAATTCGAATACGAATATTTTAATTAACGAAACTAATTATGAATAGTTATTATAATAATTCGTATTACTGTATTTCATAATCGAATCATTTCTTATTTGCACTTCATTGCATAGCTTCAATTTTTTTGTAGTATGTAAAGAGAAAGAGATGAAGTATATTTAGTACATTTCTAACTGAACAATTAGTGGAAATAAACATTAGAAAAACGAAAAACCAAAGATCATCGATTTGCTTCGATAAGAAGTACACTTGAGATAGTCTGAGCCAGGTTGTTCTTACCTGCTCGACCTTTTCTTTTTTTTATTAAATACCTCCCACATTAGGTCACAGATGAATCATGAAACGCATTAACGTATATATGCGAGCTATCTCGTCGGCCATGTCAGGACAATGACACGAGTAGCGAAGTATCTTATCCAGAGTGTTAAACAGATTAAACTGGACAGTTTAAATTGAAATTCAAAAGTTAGGTTTTAACCGTTTGCGGATGGATGTCGGCTTCGGTGAGATGAAATGATCTAATTAGTCGAACAGCAAGGAATCGACACGTAGTTTTATTTTTCTCTATTAATTAAGCAATTGATATATAATTTAGCTTCATATGTTTCAAAGAATCTTAGCCCGCAAAGGTTCAACTCTAGATAATTAAACTGAAATTAATATTATCATCTACACGACTAAACATTCGACATAGACTACGAGTGAAAGGCATGCATATTTTTCTATTTCATTCGATTCAAACAAAGTAGCACAAGAGATATATCATTAGATTTCAATTAGGAAATAGGAAAGCGTACAAAATTAACGTTTGCAGTGTTAGTAGATATTAACCCCCTCGCCTTATGATTTATTTCTTAATTATGATCGATACAGCCACTTTATTACTACAAACTACATTAACACGTTCGCTGCTAGCGTCACATACTTATAACGGCCGTCATCCTATATTTTACATAGTGAAAATGAAATGAATCCTATAAATATTGTTATTAGAAATGATAAACTACGGCATTATATTTGGAAACTCAATAACTCGTTTCAGTTTCATTTTTCTGATATTTTGTTTAGATTTATTGGATCGAAGGAAATATTATAATTGAGGCCGTCACTGAAACAAGCGCTGGTGGCGAACGTGTTAACTGAAAAGAACAATCCATATTTTTTAATATCCATATATTTATTATAAATCACCCATAAAAGAATAACTTTAAAAATATATATTTGCTTCGAATAGTTGGTACTGCCGCCAGAAAAATGTGACGATCGTAAGCGGTTAAAAACTTCGAAGTACATTGATAATAGCAAAATTCGTGCTCCTGCGTCTGAATTCACAAAAGTAACGATAATTGGTAGACTGTTTAGACCAGTGTTTCCCAACACATTAATTTTCAATATTATATTATAAAATTTTGTAATATTTATCATAATATTTTTGCTATTTTGTTTACGTGCGTAAATATTGTAAAATATACGAAGTGATATTTCAAATTTCAAATTGCCCCCCCTCCCTAAAAATCAAATTGCGACGCCCCCACGTTGGGAAACACTGATTTAGGCGAACGTTTAGTTACATATTGCACCTAGTGTAACATAATAAAACAGAACGATCAAAGAAACGTACCGAGTGAACAACGAGAATAATCGGAAGCTGTGAAATTTTAAGGTCTAAAATTGATTGCTGCAAGGATGCGTCTCCACATCCTTAGCTTATTGTTATTCACAAGCGTGTTAGTCGTGAAGAAAGCTTCGGCCCATGGCAGACTGATAGAACCTCCCTCGAGAGCCTCGATGTGGAGGTACGGTTTCGACACGCCGCACGATTACAACGATCACGAATGTTACTGTGGCGGATTCACCAGGCAGTGGCAACGAAATAAAGGAAAGTGCGGAATCTGCGGAGACGCTTGGGACACGCCGGAGGTAAGGCGAAACTTCTTTCGTGTTATCCCCTATTCCGTTTCCTCTACAGCAACGGTTTCCAACCTTTATGCTACTGCATTTCCCTAAAAGAAATTTTGTTTTCCGCACCTGCCTATCTTTAAACACTAAAACTACCAACCAGTTAACATGTTCCGTGCCGAGTGGGGCATATACGACTCACGCTGAATTTTCCGTTAAGACCAAAAATGAATTATCATTGAAAAACGAAGAATTTTTTTTAAATTTATTGTAGAGTCAAATATAGGCATCTTAATGTCATGTATACTGCGTTTATTCGATTTAATTGAAATCGACAATAAAACCTCTAATAGTGTATATATTGAGACTTCCATTGATTTATAATTCAGTTCGGAATTTCTAAATCAATTTTTTAGTAACTTCTCAAAGAGATACTTGTTATCCTCTGAATAATTGCAAAAAGAAGAACTCAGGACTTATCTGGTAGTTCTAGTGTTAATAGATGGAATAATATAGACACGTTTTAAATGATAATAACTTTATTAAAAGCAAACATTACTCCACTGAATTCCTACTGTTACGTTACGATGTGAAGTTTATTTATTTGTAGATATTATGGTATGAACATTAATTTTTTATTAACAATTTTGGCGCCTCCCTTGGCAACAGTCAATATTGAATTGATAATTTATTTCTTACCATGCTCTTCAGATACTTTCATCGCTGACTGTACACTCGTCATTGTATGGCAAAGGGTTATCGTATTTAAAAACTAAATTACCTGAAAATAATGACGAAAAGGGCGATGACGGTTTCACACAACACAGTATTTTCTAGGAACCTTTTCTACCGTGTTATATGAGGATTATCTGTAATTGTTAACTCGTCGCAAGCTGGACGCATCGGATACAAAAATCCCATTGTAAAGTCCGCGTAATTATCGTCCTTACGACACAGTATAAATTTGCGGCTTTTCGGTCTGTCGAGTGCACATGCAGCCGCTGCAACAGTAGGCGTTTCGACACCTTCCCGAAAAATATTCTGTAAAACTCGAAAGTGAAATCCTCGAGCAATCTCCGACGAAAGCTCTATCGCGTGTCAGAAGATTTTTTTGTTGAATATGAATCTTCCTTATAGAGCTAGAGATTAGCACGTTCACTGCCACGATCACTGATAATCGAAGTTTCTAAATTAGTGAATTACTTCTAAATTACTTGCTAGGAAATAATAATGCCATACAAACCACTTGAAATTCTCGTGACAGTTACATGTTAACTTTGCGGACGAATGTCGGCATTTTCCTGAGATCAAACTTACGTTTGGAATACCAAATTGCGAACGAATGATTCAACTATTCGGATAGCAAGAAATCAGTACAGTTTCCTTGTTCTATATGATTTAACCTTTTGCACCCGGAAGTTCCGTTTCAAGGGACATTTCGAATGGAATATTGAAACTTCTGAGTGCAAAAGGTTAAGCATTCAGTGTTTAATTTAGCAGAAGCTAAAGGTTTTCTTTACTGTCAACAATCTTCGTCTATAAAGGGTTAAAGAAACAGAATTTTGCTGTTGTTACAGCCACGTATGCACGAGAACGGTGGGAAATACGGAAACAATGTGATAGTGAGGAAGTATCGGACTGGTTCTGTGATACCAGTCCGAGTGCAACTCACTGCGAACCATCATGGTTACTTCGAATTTCGTACGTGCGCGATGGTCGCCAAGGGAAAGGAAGTCACTCAGGAATGTTTGGACAAATACCTATTGCAGTCGGAGAACGGATCGGTCAGATATTATCCGGGACCAGGGAATAAGATTTTCGAGGCATTCTACAAATTGCCGGATGACCTGACTTGTGCCCAATGCGTCTTTCAGTGGAGATACATAGCTGGGAATAATTGGGGCGACTGTGGAAATGGAACAGGTAGGTATTGTTGTTGCCTGTTGTCGTCAGTATTCCCTTGTCAATGGTTCTTTCTCTAAACTACTTGCACGAATGAAGCCAGTGCTACGCGAAGTATTGTTTTAACACTAGAACTATGTTAACAGTTAAAATGACTGGTTTGAATTTGTTTGTTTCGGAATTATCGATATTTTAAAAGCTTTAGATATTTGTAATGATTTTGAAAATAGTTTCATTTTAATACTAGAATGAATGGCCGATGAATCTGAGAATAATTTATTGTTACCATTTTTATATGGATTACATATCAATCGTATTAAATGCTCGGTAGTTATAGTGTTAATTAACGATCAAACTGACTGATTTGAATTTGTTTATTCCGGAATTACTGATATTTTAAAAGCATTTCTAATTTCTATAAAAATTGTAACAATAAATTATTTTCGGTTGCTTCAGACACTCATAGTATTCGAGTGAAACTATTTATTTTCAAAATCATTATGAATATTCAATGCTTTTAAGATATCAATAATTCCGAAACAAAACAATTCAAACATAGTAGTTTCAGTGTTAATTTCCCGGGGGCAAATAGGTTAAACAGTAAACAGTAAATAATTTGTTTTATTTAGAAATTTCGTATGAAAGCAAGAGATAGCTTTAATACAAAAAAGAAAGTTAAATAATATTAGTATTCCGGCTGGATAAATGTAGAAGGTTTTAATTGGACTTATAGCATACAATAGGGATTACATAATTAGCACAAGCGTTGCGATCATTTCTTCATGATAATTAGCATTCGACCAAGTTTCTTATTGAGTAACTGGTTTATTACTTTTCAATAGTAAAAAAAAGTTACCTAATAACAGACTATGCTCAAAATGCTATCCCTCGCTTTCGATGTACGTGAAACGCATTAACAGCGCGATTTAACGGCCGAGTGTGCACTTGCAATAAGATTGCAAGTGTGTCGAACGTGGAAGACGGAGTTTTGTCAGTACGTTAAATTATTTTAAACTTTGTATTTAATATACAATAAATTGTTTTACTTCAAGCAATACTTGATTTGCATCTTAATTTCTTGTCGGGCAAATTTTCTTAGCGTACAATGGCCTTCATGAACTTCACGTTAAATATTAATCTTATTCTCATTTGATCACCAATCTTATAAAATTACCGTTCAGTTTCTCGCGATAAAAGTGTTTTGTTCATATAAAAAAAAGAAATTATGATTTTAAATCTAATTAACATTATTGTCCTTTATCAATCCATCGTGCTTAAATATATGTCTTGCGCATTGTCATTAGAGGGTTAAAAAAAATAGCACCTTAAAATAGGTACTTTAACACGTAACAGCTTGAAATAACAGAAAAATGTTTAAATATTGTTGAAATATTATAGAAATGTTTAAAAATTGCTTACAGGAGCTGTAGGGTGTGGTCCCCAAGAAGAATTCCGTTCTTGTGCCGATATTACTATCGGTGACCATGTGAAACCATTGCCACCGAGACCGCCTACAGAACCGCCTACTGCATCGGTTCCTGGCGAAAAGTCACCAACAGAGCCAACTTTGGTGCCAAAGTCGTCGGGACCGTTCTGGTTATTCAGTATCGTTATCGCTGGTACGTGCCTCCTGGTTGTGCTGGCGGCTATGGCATTGCTTTACTCGTATTACTATCACGCTGGCAGAGCCAAAAAATGGCTGATGACCAGTCGGTTGTTGGCACCTGACAGTCCGCCTGTCGCCCCACCGAGGCATAAAAAGCACAACACGTACAATGCACCATTACAATTGTAAAAATAGCATTTATACTTCACGTAGGATAAGTGTAAGCAAAAAAACGAAGGAGATTATATGTGACTTTGTGATAAAGATTTTGCGAAAACTGTATTTAAAAAATATTTTACAGTGCCTCTTCTGCTAATTGGTAGATTAACATTCGTACGATAAATTGGTACTTGTATTGAAAGAGAAACGAGCGGTTACACTGACTTGTTATTGCGTTTACGCGAACTGATAGTTCTCTGTTATTTTTTATGCATTTAGAACTGTTCGGAGGTATTCTTGTGTATGCGTGTAAGTGCCTGTGTGCGTGGGAAATATTTGATAACCCTATGATATATGTATCTGTGAGAAAGACGTTTCCATTTTTGTCCAGTGCGTTCACGGCACGTAATTTCATTTTGTATATATATACAATTGTCTTATATTATATGTACTTATTTATTATAAATTGATACTACCTAGTTATTATGAGTTTTGTTTTAGAAAGTTAAGTAATCCACTTCTACTACCAATGTCTTTGCCTGTACGCAATTGGGGAATAGGGGATTATTAGTTTTTAAATCCATATCCTTTAATACTATTTTACGTGCATAGTGACTCACCTTGTATGATATACGTATTGCATTTGTTGGTTTATATAAATAAGGTTTAAAGAATGAAATATGAAATAGTAAATTACTTTTTATTCAGTAACATATTTCTAAAATCTTGATTATTTAGTTTCTGTGTAATGCCATTAGTGGCTGCGTTTGCACTACCGTTACTAGTAGCAGCTTTAACAGTACGTGGCACCATAGACAACAACAATTTAGGCATACCAAATGTAGTCCTGCTTACTGTGGTACCACCTAGAGATTTAACCGAAGGTATTTCAGTTCCTGGAACCTTCTTCCGTTCAGGTGGTTGGCTTATAGCCACGCCAATGGTCTTGTCCTCGATTTTCATGCCATCGGTAGCCAACAGAGCCTTTGCGGCAGTAGCTTCGTCTTCGTATTCAACGTAAGCCAATCCTTTCGAATGACCATTACGATAAGTAACTATACGAACTTCTTTTAATTTTCCATGGGCTTTGAAAATTTCTTCAAGCTCTTCTTTTGTCGTTGTTATCGGCAAACCTATTCGGTTAATAAATAACTTATTATAGTATAAACATCATACTGTGAAAAGTATAAAAGTGAAATGGAATGTACCTTTAACAAACAATTTATTTTTCTCCAGGGTGGAACTGTATTTGAATCCTGGTGTCCTTGTTACTTTATTAGGATCGCATCTTGAAACAAACATCGGTCGTTCTCTTATAGGAGTTCTGTCCAATTTCAAAGCTTTTTCAACCGCTTCCTTAAAAAAAAATTATTTTATAATAATAATAAATTTAGTATGAATATTGGTAGTTTGGGAAAGTTAGCAATAACATAATTTTAGACACGATATTCCTACAGATATAGTATAAATTCGAGATAGTTCGACCACATTGTCATAAAGTTTTAAGCATATTAAAATCAATTTTATCTAAATCAACATATCATACCGTACTACTTAATTGTACATAGCAAAATCCTTTGCTACGTCCTTTGTAGTCTCGTATCATTCTAAATGTCTTTATTGCTCCAGCTGGTTCTAACGCATGTCTAACCTCTTCTTCAGTTGCAGTGTAATCCAAATTACTTATGAAAACAGTAACTTTATTGTCAACTTCTTCAATATTGTCTACGTCCATTTTATTACTTTCTTCTGGCGATTTGAATCCGGGCGGTGGAGCTATTTTCGGTTTCTGTTCCTCGTCATTACTAACAACCTTTTCAAGGTTCAGGTGCTTTTGACTTGAAAAGTCAACTGAAGGTTTTACTTGCGTTTCAATTTTCGTGACTTTTGTTGGGGAGGATCCCAAATTCTTCCATTTACCAGCATCATCTGGTTTTCTTTTGTAAGCTTTTTTACTCTGTGATGGAGATAGTTCGTGATTAGCTACTTGCTGTACTTTTTGTCTATCTTCAGCTACTTTTTCTAATTTTTCTTGTGTTTTGGATTCGCAATGTTCCATTTGTTCTAATGTACCTTCGTCTCTTTCAAAATCCATCCATGAATTGACAATGCTTTCTGGCCAATCTTTTACAGAAGCCAGAGCTTTTTGGTATAGTTTTCTTAAATGTTTAGTATCTCCATAACACCTATAAATGAACAGTGCTATTAAATTACAAAATATTGCTTAATATTTCATTAGTTTATGATGACATATTTAATTACCTTTCTAATGAAATATATTCTAACCAGTAAGAAGCTGTTGCAGAATGTCCTTGTGATAAAATGTCAGCCCACAATGATCTAGCTTTTCCCATGTTATTAGCATGTATAGCTTCAGATCTTGCCCAGTATTGTAATATTGTACAATTGGGATCTCCTTCCAAACCAAAAGATTTTGCTAGGTGTTCACAAGCTCTGTTAAATGTATTACGTAATATTTCTAACTGTTTCTCTTCATCAGTAGATGACTGATCAACTTTTCTTCGTAAATATTCTAAGTATGTCATCCACAATTCTCGATAATCATCTGAAGTAGAAAACCCAGCCGTTAAAGCATTTTCTAATATTGTTTGAACTTCTATTACTGGTTTGTTCCACTTTTCATAGGATCTTATCCATTTCTGCCAAATCTTTGCACACCATGGAACATTTCTTGAAGCTCTGTGATATACCTGATCTAAGACAGATTCAATTTTGATATTTTTTTCCAGATACGTAAGATAATCCAACCAAACTGACATTTCTAAACTTAAATCGGTAACTGCTCTTTCATATAAAACAGTTACTCGTCCTGGATCTCCATTTTGTTTTTCATACAGTAAATATGCTTTATATGAATCTAGCAGTTCACTTTCAGCTTGCGAAGAAACAATTTTTTCTTCATAGGGTAAACGAGCATTAAGGTTTGCTAAGGCTCTTTCATACCCTCCAACCACAATTTTGTCATCAAACGTAACTTCTGCACCATCTCCATTACGCCAAGCCTCATATTCCTCGTAAGTATTTTCCATATCTAAAAGAGGACAAGCTAACTGTCTCTTGAATAAATTGCCTATGCGTTCCAACTGTTCTTTCTTCTCAGCTTGATTCGAAGAATCAATCTAATAAAATATTGGAAATCCAAATATATTATAAGCTACTCCTAATGTATAAAATACCATTTCATTGCTCTACCTACCAGTGCATATAAAACTGCTTCGAACTCCCTGAATGCCTCCCATATTATCGCACCTTTGATAGTATGCAATCCAACAGCAGTTAGTGCTCGTTCAAATAATTGTCGAACATTTTTCGCTGCATCCCTATCGGTACCCATATTACCAATACTAAATTGTAAATATTCCAACCAGACTTCTACAGCTGTAACAAAAGATTAACTTTATATTAGACAATTTATATATACAATGTAAATAACAAAAGTAACATAAACAATCAAAAGAAACGTTCCACATTCTTAAAAGGTGAACTTACAAAGATAATCTTTGACAGCTCTTTCGCATAATTTGACTACATCTGCTTTCTGTTCTGCAGTTGTGGCTAGTTTAATTTCATCGCGCATCCAAGATAACCAAAGATCAGGACTCAAAGGATATTTAGAACTCATATTCTCTCTAGCAGCCCGTAATCGTTCTAATTCGCCCATCTTTTGCAGTTTATTAATAATGGCTACATGACTTGTGTAATCATACGGATTCTGTGCAAGAGAGGATTCCAAAACTTTCACCACTGCTTCATCGGCAAATAAGTCATCGTCATTCTCGCTTTGGTCATCGTCGGTGTCATTATCTACGGTTTCTTTGGCTTCATTTTCAATCATTTCCGAGTCGTCCTCCTTGTCAACCACATCTTCGCACGATATATTATCGTTATTTTCCTCGCTTCCTACGTCCATCTCTTCCATTCTTGATAAAGTAAGTCTAATCCTCGACGATAAAGGTTTTCACTCGTACACAAAATTACAATAAACGCGTAAGTGGCTACAAAAACCGAAAAAGGACACCATACATCAACAACGTTCAGCAATTGAAGGTTATGTTTAGATGTTTTTATGCGTATGACAGATGCCGTTATCGCACATGCGTATTATCACTGGCGTGTTATATTCGAATTTAAAATTTTTCTGGTACGTCAACACTTCAGCATCTTCGAGTTATTAAGGTAAATCATATCATTTATATATTTCTATTGCTATCTCCTTTATTAACCCTTTCGCTGCTGAAACGTTAAAACCGAGCGCTGACTATAGGTGATTTTCAGTACTATCGCAACAATCGTTGAAGTAGGTACATTGTCCTCTGTATTATAACCATTTTCTCATTGTAAAGCTTCTTCTCATCGACATACAGTTTAACAGAAGTTTCTTTTATATCATTGTGAGTATACCAATCAAAAATTCCTATTAAATAGTACGAATTCCTGTATACATAAAAAATTAATAACACTTCTATAACGTCCTTCTAATAACGGTGCTTTTCATTGTATCTTTTATGTACGCGAGACTTATCAGAATCCTGCACTGCAGGCAGAAAGTTTATTGAATCCTTACATTTTATTCAAAATACAGTTTAACCCTCTGAAACATTCGATGTTTTCTGATGAGACATAGACGACATTGTTTGAAACGAACTAATGAGAAAACATACTTAACCCTCCCACCACTTGATTTACGCGGTAAAACTATAAAGTCCGATATTCAATGAACTTTATATAAAGCCTTGATACGTGAAATATTGGAATAAAATATGTTTTGTTTTTGTTCCTCAACGTAGTTATGATTTCCCTTTGAATTAATTTGAAACAATATCGTCTTCGCCTCGTCGGAAAATGTTAAACATTTCTAATGAGAAACTTCCGAGTGCAAAGGGTTAAGCTTCGTGTGATCTATAAATATGTGAACTATTCAAGTAGTAACTTTGGTTCTTAACTTATGTGTTCTCTCGTTCAGTTCTTAAGGAGTGTCGTATATAACTGACTGAAAAATGTTGAATATTCTTAGTGAAAGGCTTTCGAGTGCAATTGATTAAATTAACCCTTAATGATCGAGAGCTGCTTTTTGTAATACTCGCCCATAAGGTGTTAACTGTGGTAATTATTTATTGTCAGCGCATGATCAACAAACCAATGATGTAAGTTGCAATATTTGATGAAGAAAACTACAGCGATGATAAATAAATGAAATGAAAAGTAATTCTTTTCATGTCCCCGTATTGGGGCCTTTCGGCTGTTAAAGGTTCAGAAACAAAGCGATTTTTTATAAATATTTCACATTTTGATGCGTTATACGGTATTTAATATTATATAGAACACTTTGTAATTTTATTATATCGAATCAAATGGTGACTGAGAGTCACCTCTCGAGTGGAAAGGGTTAATACAACAGATTGTATAACAACACAACGTCCACCTGTTTATTATGGCACTTCTTTATTCTTTAAAACCTGTTTATACTATATGTAAATCACACAATTGCTTTGGGATCATTTGGACACGCCTATAATAATGAAAAAATTACGAGAAAAAATAAAGATGCGTTTTTTTGATGAATTCAACTCGGAAAAAAGAATTCGTGACCGAAAGGGTTAAGATATAACCAAAATTCCATAACAATTTTAATCCGTAACAATTTTAATGAACCGCATCACCGATTTCGCATCGCAATGAAAATGAATGAAAATTTTAATGAGCCGCGAAAATAGGAAAAACGCGAATGCCGTACTCCGAGGGTTAAAGTGCATAATAATTTGAAAAAGTTAAGACTATATAGAATGAAATTCGTGACAATGTGGCTTGTAAATTTGAATGTTATAGCATTCATGTGATTTTGCATCACAATGGAAATGAATGAAAATTTTAATTGAGCATAAATAGGAAAAACGCGAATGCCGTACTCCGAGGGTTAAAAGGGATAATAACTTGAAAAAGTTAAGACTATATAAAAAGATATTCATGACAATGTGCCTTGTAAATTTTAATGTTATATCATTCATGTCATTTTTCATCGCAATGAAAATGAATGCTATAGCATTCCTGTAATTTTGCATCGCAACGAAAATGAATGCTTGATGACGTAACGCAGTGCAAATATTCGTTTTGTACGTTTGACGATGGTATTCTCGGAAACAGGGGAAAAAGGACGCGAGAAAGGAAGTCGGAAGTTCGTCAAATTTCCCAGAGGCTACTCGGACCGCTGCGGAGTTCCTTTAAAATATACTCAGAAATATAATACACGCGATTGGGTAAGGTTCCAGCAGGTTTTCGTACAGTACACCAGTGATTGCTGGATTAGAACGGTTTATAATCAATGTATTTGTTTGTGGATTCAGTTCAACGAATGTTTACCTTCGGCGAAGTAAAGCCTTCCACTCGGTGCAAATATTCTGTGAACAGGGTTGCGAGGATCAATCGCGAACATGGCATGGTGAGTAGACACGCTACTTACTTATTTACCTTTTTATTTCTTTAGGGTATTCGTGATTAATTTCTTTTAGAGAATCGTTGGTAGATTCGATAATAATACATTGTAACGTGTAAGATAATTTAACCCTTTGCACTCGGAAGTTTTTCACTAGAAATGTTTGAACATTTTCTGATGAGATAAAGATGATATTTTGTGAAACTAACTCGAAGAGAAATTACACGTACACTGAGGAACAAAGCTATTTTATTTCAATATTTCTCAAATTATACAAGGTATAATATTAAATATCAAATTTTATAGTTTTACTGTATGAAATCAAGTGGTGAGTGAGAGTCACCTCTCGAGTGCAAAGGGTTAACATATCGGTTGAATTGGGGAATAATACCAAATTCTACCGAATTACATACACAAGCGCGTATGGGGCGATTGCGGATGAAAGACATTGGGAAAATCCAGAAACAACTAGTTTAAATATATCTTAAAATAAATCTAGTTTACACGAAACATTTATTTAAAAGATTTATAGTAGACTGTGAAAGAATCCATTAACATTTAACCTTTGCACTCGGAAGTTCTTCACTAGAAACGTGCAACATTGCTCAATGAGATATAAACAACGTTCTTTGAAACTAATCAACGAGAAAACGTTCGTTAAGAAACAAGGCTATCTTATTTCAATATTTCACACATCGATGCATACGAAACAGAGTATTATATATAAGACTATAACTCTGCCATATCGAATTTAGTGATGACTGAGAGTCACCTCTCGAGTACAAAGGGCTAATAAAATTTCCTGTTTTTCTTGTCTACTTCATTTTTTTGGTGAAGCCTAACAGGTGATTAATCATTTCTTTCATTACTTTACATTCAACCCGTAAATCTACCGGAAGTGTCGTCAAACTCTCGACCACAAAAGAACAGTCTCCTATCGATGATATGAAAACGGTATTTTCCCGGTGCAAGTTGGTTTCTTACGTCACAAGTATTCCTTTGGTTTCAACCACACCGAGGATTAATACCAGGGGAATCCCTAAAGTCGCACAAAGAAAAGTAATTCGGTCTAAAGACTCATTTCGTCTTACATCCTGTGTAATCCAAATAAATTCAATAATCAAAATATACAAGCGTGTTAAATAGAAATCAATATGTGTAGAAATTTACTTTAACCCTCGGAGTACGGTATTCGCGTTTTTCCTATTTTTGCTCATTAAAACTTTCATTCATTTCCATTGTGATGCAAAATGACATGAATGCTATAACATTCAAATTTACAAGCCACATTGTCATGAATTTCATTCTATATAGTCTTAACATTTTGAAATTAATATTCACTTTAACCCTCGGAGCACGGCATTCGAATTTTTTCTATTTTTGCGGCTCATTAAAGTTGTTACTGTTCGCGAACGTATTAATGCGTCACAAGAAGCACGTTAGACCACTTCCTTTTTCTTCGTCCTGCAGTTCTGCGAACAGGTTGCCGGCAATTTTCTCGCGCGAATGTGACGGCGAAGAGAAAAGTGGAAAACCGGCAACATTGCTGGCCGCGGGAAAGTCGTAAAACCATTTATTTTTCTTTATTGTGTCAGTTTCCTGTTCTCTGCTCACTGTACGCGGCCGGTCGATCTTCCATAGCAGGCCTGGCCTATCGGAACTTTTGTTTCTCATTGTACGTACACAAAGAATACGAAATAAATGAGAATCAAAATGAACTTCTACAATATATATTACATCCGAGAGATATTTCAACTTAAGATTTTTTGCGCGAGTTGTAAGTGTTTTTAGATCCACATACGTTTGTGAAACATTTTTTTCGAAGATGAAATTTACGAAGTTGATCATGTGCTTCATTGACTGATGCCAATTTGGAAAAGCTAAGATGTGCAACGTTGAACATAAATATAGAGTTACAAAGATTAACCGTTTGAGTCCCACGGGTTTTTGCAAAAACCCGATCGACAAATTCCACGCGCGATCGCGCTCCTTTCTTTTCGATTTCGAAACTGAATGACGCTTTTCTATTTTGACAAAAACAACAATTGGGACTAGACTGCCACTTTTGAACAATGTAACGAAGCGCCATCTTGCCGCTTCGGACTCGAACGGTTAAGTGAAAGAAAGGATAAACGAATATCTCATGAATTCAATCTCGAGAGTGAATTATATCGAATCATAATATAACAAAGTTTTCTTCATTTTGTATTTATATCACATTTTTGAAAATCATGTGTACCTAAGGTCTCACTGTAACGTTACGCGTTATCAAAGCGATCTGTGAAATGATTTGTTGGCTAGGCCTGCTCCATACGAATGAAACGAATCATCGAATACCCCACTACCGCGAAACAAGCAACGTGCAGGGGCAAGGAACAGTCGGTCGCCGGGATTCTTAAACAGTTTTTTTTAGCAAACCGGTCGAGGGACAAGATTGCATTTTTGAGACGTTGACTCGATCAGGTATAATTTATTGAAAAAACGAGAAGAATGTGAAGTGGCTCGATTCACCTCCGATCTGGGAGTCATCTTCGAATCCTCCTCTGCTGCGTGTGCAACAGCCTCTTCGCGAGCTGAGGCGCAGATAGCCACGATGCTTTGACGTTCCCGGATCGAATCTTCAATCCGATGGTAAACTATCCACCTGTTATATTCGATATGGTGCTCCGTGAGACTCGGTGGAAATGATTCAGTGTTTGTGGTGATCGCTACAGTGATTCGCGGTATCGCGGGGAATTCCGCCGCGGAGGATTACGTTGACTAATTGTTGAATATTGAAAATCCTAATCTGTGCTCTCGTATCTTGTTTCTCTTTCGTGTGACAAGTACTGTTTACCCTTTTTTGATACCCTGTATGTCGCAGTGCGTCTTATTTTCATTATCAAGGAATTCAGAAGGAAATAAAAAGAAATTAGGAAATTGTGTTATTGACGATGGGTATATACAGCAACGTTTTGTCTGTTCGCATGGATGTGCTTTCAAATTAACATGTTCGCGGACAGTACAAATTTTAATGAGCATAAATAGAAAAAACGTGAATGCCGCACTCCGAGGGTTAAAAGGGATAATAATTTGAAAAAGTTAAGACTATATAGAATGAAATTCATGACAATATGACTTATAAATTTTAATCTTATAGCATTCATGTCATTTTGCATCACAATGAAAATGAATGCTATAGTATTCACGTCCGCGAACGTGTTAAGAAATAATAGGGAAATGAGGGAAATATTTCTAATTAGCAACCCTTTGCACTCGGAAGCCTTTCACTAGGAAGATTCAACATTTTTCAATCAATTATACACGACACTCGAAACGAACTGAACGAGAGATCACATAAATTAAGAACCAAAGTTACTACTCCAATATTTCACATATTTACAGATCACGCGAAGAGAAGTTTGGTGGATGACACGAAGAAAGGCTTAGGTGGGACATGGCACAAAAAAGCTTAGGAAACAGTGGTTTAGGGTATTTTTGATTAATTTCTTTTAGAGAATCGTAGATAGATTCGATAACAATACATTGCAACGTGTAAGATAACTTAACCCTTTGCACTCGGAAGTTTCTCACTAGAAATGCTCAACATTTTTTAACTAGGCGAAGACGATATTCCCTGAAACTAACTCGAAGGGAAATCACAAGTACATTAAGGAACAAAACTATTTTATTCCAATATTTCACGTATCAAGGCATTATACAAAGTTCTTTTAAATATCAGACTTTTTATAGTTTTACCGTGTCAAATCAAATGGTATATATAATTGGCATTATATGATACTTAATATTATATAGAACACTTTGTAATTTTTTTATATCGAATCAAAAAGGTGACTGAGTCACTTTCCGAGTGCAAAGGGTTAATATTCTGTGAAAAATTTTACAATTTCGACATATCGAATCAAATGGTGACCGAGAGTTACCTCTCGAGTGCAGAGGGTTAAAATACGTTGAATTTTGTTCAGTCACCACTGTTTTCATTATCTTACAAGGAAATCTTAATCCATGCTCTCGCGTCGTGATGGACTGATTTGAAGAATTCCGTGTTCAGTCGTTAAGACAAGCGAGGCATTCGCATCCTTGACACGTTGACCGATTGTTGAATATTGAAAATCCTGCTAATCCGCGCTCTCGTGTCGCGATGGACTGATTTGAAGAAATCCGCGTTCAGTTGCGGAGACAAGCGAAGCATTCGTATCCTTGACACGTTGACCGATGGATGAATCGAAGGAATATTAATTTACGGCAAGGAATAGACGTACAGAGATGAAGTTGTCAGCGATGAAGGATAGCGTCTGCCAGTCGGTTGCTCAAGGTCGACGGCGGAACGCCGTCAGGGAAGGACAATTTTTTGAAAGCGTAACACGTTAAGCGCCATGTTACTCACTGGCACTGATGCTTCTGAATGACTAGAAAACAATCGTAATGTACAATTACCGTACACATTCGGGTGACGCTATTTCTTACGTAAACTTGAACACTAACCCTTTGACGAATGTCGACATTTCGTTGAGATTACATTTTCATATGAGGAATATTAAGATGCGAACGAATCATTTAACTAGAACTACCAAGCAGTCAAACTGCCTTTTTGAAATTTCTCTGTAGAAACTAAATGATGCGACTATCGAGACTTCAATTAATTCGCACTGTAGTTTCTGTATTACTAAATTAATTTCTATAGTAACTTCTCAAAGAAGCATCAGTTATTTTTTCAATAACTGAGAAAAAAGAAGTCATAAATCATTTTGCCCCATCCAGTAGTTCTAGTGATAATTACTTGAATAGTAAGTGATCAGTGTATAGTTTCCTTTTTCTATTGTTTAAGCATTCGATGTGTAATTTAGCTTCATACGTTGCAAGCTTTGTGTACTTCAAAGAGTCTTCGTCAAAGGGTTAATTTTAAGGGTTGTGTTGGATGTATGAGACATAAGAAAGATAGTAGAACAATCGTTACGAAGAATCTTGATTTTTTAGCTTTTACTTAACGCGTTCGCTACCAGAGTTTATTCCGGTGACGGTCTCAATTATATTTTCTTCGATCCAATAAAGCTAACAAAATGTCAGAAAAATGAAACTGAAACGAGTCATTGAGTTGCGAAATATAATGTCGTACTTTATCATTTCTAATAACAATATCTATAGGATTCATTTCGTTTTCATTATGTAAAGTATAGAATTGCGGCCGTCGCGAATATGTCACGCTGGCAGCGAACGTGTTAATAACGTAAATAAGTTGATAATAGTGTAATGCAAAGATTCTAATGTTAAATAATTAATAATTGTTGCTGCTTCTCTATGCTACGAAAGAAAAACTCTACGGAACGCTTAAGATTTTCGTGGCGCTTAACGCGTTAACCAGGAAAAAGGAACTTTGCGAAGTTCTCTTCGTGCATAGTAATATACTAGGTAGCAGATTATTATACAAATGTACGTGTATTTTTATAGACGATGGAAACCGGTATTAACACGTCGACCGCCGTACGATTTTGCCGAGGAAAACAGACAAAATGAAAGTAATGAAACATCAACTTATGTAATTGAATTACGTTATTATTCTCAGGTTTATCTTGTCGAATATCACTGCGTTAGGCGGTGTTACTTGTAATATAGAAAACTTTTCAAATAATCATCGTTCAATCGAATGAATTATAGTTATTCGAAAAGTTTTCTTGACCTTTTTTTTCGATTTTTCATGACCTGAACAAGTCAAAACAAACAATTAAAAGAAACTGCGTTTCTGGGCACGATTTTAACACGTTGGATGCCATGGGGGTCATCAGCGACTTTATTGAATTTGATTGATCATCGTTCAATCAATTATAGAATTGTAGTAATTATAGTAATTCGATTTGATTGAGATCATCAGTGACCCCCATGGCATCCAATATGTCAAAATCATGCCCAGAAACGCAGTTTCTTTTAATTGTTTGTTTTGACTTGTCCAGGTCATAAAAAATCGTACACAAAATCAACTTACATGTTATCTAGACCGTTACTTCATGTTTGTTCAATCAAACAATTAGTGTAATGTGTAATATGAACGACCATAGCCGTCGTTTACTAAATTTTGTTAAACAAGATCTTTAAAAAAAAATAAAATAAAGTAAAAATACGGTTTAATGATTATGCGTGGAACTGCGACAGTAGAGGTTATCAGTAGAGGTTATCGCGTTGAGGTAAACATTCCGTTTATAAAACATTCCTAATTTTCCATGAAATTTTACGAGCTCGAGGGAAATATATCGAGCATTTATCAATAATGAACTCTTTCGTCACTCACTGTCATTGTATTATGAAATCATCTGGATTTCCTGGGAACAGAGCGAGAGAATTATCTCATTCCATTCACGCTTGTAATCGAATCGCTCGATCTATCAGATGTCAGATCATTCTACGAGTAATGTCGTTTTCTATCGGCAAATGTTAATCTATTTATAGAATTTCGATGCGTGATGTTATTGGATTTATCCGAATCATCGATCTAGTAAGTAGGCACTGTCCTCTATAATCATTGAGTGATTTGATTTGTTTTACGTGAAGTTCTAGAAAATTTTAAATAAAAATCTCATGAAATCGGTGACTTTGAGTGTTCACTATTGTCGAATCTTTCGAATTCGCAATTGTATTTACTTTGCGATTGCTTCCGAAGTTCTTATCGTGCGATCTAACTTCATCGTAGTGGAACGAGATGCCTTCGTGATTCACCGATGACGCTCGTATTAAAAATTTCTACATAATAGATTGAAATCGTGAATTTTTCATTAGGATTCTATTAAACTTCATTAAGCTTTAATAAACAGTGGATATTAACGCGAAACGATGTTTAATACATCGGTAATTAAGAATATTTGTTCAGCATGCTTAGAGTGTAGAGATGACTTTGCTCGTGGAATGACTTGATACACGGATAGATATACTCTAATTTAGATATTAAGGTATTCATATATTAATTACAATGAAATAACATTAAACAAGTTAACCACGATTAAACAGGATTAATATATTTAACTACTATTGAATAGAATTCAGTTAATTAGGTTAAATAGAATTTAGTACAGTTAATCTCAATTGAACATGTTTAAATACCATTAGTTACAATTAAATAGGATTAAATAAGTTAACCTCTGTTAAATAGAATTAAATGCGTTAATTAATATTAAATGGGATTACACAAGTTGAGTGTAAATAAATAGGATTAAATGGATTTGATCACAATTAAATATGGCCAAATACAATTGATTACAATTAAATAGGATTAAATACAATTAATTACAATGAATTGATGGTCAACCGATTAGGAGGTCATTCTACACGTGAAAATGAGTCAAAAAGAAGAGAATAACATTTTTTCCTGCGAGTCTTCGTTTTCGAGAAAAGTGTACACTCGGTAGATGTTGACTTTGTGCATTTCACTATACACTCTTGTTTTGATTCTTATTTGTATTTAAAGACGTAGTAATGACCTCGGTTGATAGTTTATCGTTCGTGCTGTTCTATTAGCGGTATAATTATTCAGTATTTAACAGTTTCTTGATAAGGCAGCTCATTTGAATTGTAAGTATACTGATATGATTCTCGCACTCGGAGCGTGCGAGGGTAATTTGAGTGCCGCTTTGCGTTTGTATCAAGAGCCGTATCCGCACTTTGTCATTACTATGTCTTTAAATACAAATAAGAATCAAACAAGAGTGTATAGTGCGATGCACAAAGTCGACATGTACCGAGTGTACACGTACCGAGTAAATGTTCGACTTCGTTTTTCTCGAAAGTCTTCCTGCGAAGACTCGCAGGAACAAATTTTATTCTATTTCTTCGACTCAGTTTTACATGTAGAATGACCTCCTAATCGGTTGACCGTGTCGCGGGACACCGTGTATATTAACACGTTGATTACCACGTTCCTCACCGTTGACAGACGCTTCCAAATTACGTCGAATACATTATCTAATAGCATAAACAACTAAATAATAATCTAATCTAAAAATCGTAGTACCATGTAATTGATGATTGCTAGTTTATCTTTGCTACAAAAGAAAAAGCGATTACAAAACACTGATGTTTTTCATTGCAGTCAACGTGTTAATCCTTTGCACTCCAGAAGTTTTTCATTAGGAATACTCAACATTTTTTAATGAAATACCAACGATATTCTTTTAATCTGACTTAACGAGAAATCGTACATAAATGAAAGAAAGAGGCTGTTTTATTTTAATATTTTACATGTCGATGCATTGTACAAAATTTAATATTAAATATCAAACTCTACAATTTTGCTGTGTCAAATCAATTGACGACTGAGTGGCGCCTACGGAGTGCAAGGGGTTAATAGTTAGATATTTTTCCATCATTATTTTTATCATAAACTGATTGTCATGTATTGCAGAGTTTCAGAATGTTCGCGCCCGTTGTCCTGCTGTTGCTGTCTCCTCTGCAGCTGTTCATCGCGACAGCCGAATCAGCAACTTGCATTCCTAATTACTTCAACTACGTTAATGTTGGAGGAAATGTATATATAGGTCGCATTGATATTCCATCACCACCAAAGGATATTCCTTTGCAACTCAGCGTCACTTTAAGCATAGCTTCTGTATTGCCAACGGTAAGCAGAACGCCTGCGTACTCGCACGAAATATTATACTTGGTAATTCTCTATTTAACACTAGAACTACCAAGCATTTAATACGATTAACATGTAATTCCTATAAAAATTGTAACAATAGATTATTTCCAGTTTCTTCAGGCATTCATTATAGTACTGAAATGAAACTATTTATTTTCAAAATCATTTCAATAATTTTGAAAATAATTCAATGAAGATATCAATAATTGCTAAACAAAAAAATCGAAACCAGTCATTTTGAATACTACGGTAGTTCTAGTGTTAACACGTCCCGTTCCACGTGTACCATTTATGGTACACGCGGAATTTTTGTGAGGAAACATTTTTTGTCCGACATGTGTCAAAGTAAAATGGTACACGTTGCAAAACAACAGAAACTTGAAAAAATAATATGAAAATTCAGCAAAAGCTTGAATGTAACTTAACACATTGCGTACGGGTTAATTATCAGAAAATTGAATTGTGCGGATTTTCAGTGAGATCCACTTATATCACTATGTATAAAAAGAACTCAGGTATCATATTGTTATGTAATATATTTTAAATGGACAATTAGTTGTAATCAAATTTAATATTTAACATTAGAACTACCAGATGGTTTAAAATAATCCATTCCTGATGTCATTCTTTCCAGTTCTCTGAAGTACTGGAGAAACTGGTTTCGCAATACACAAACTAAATTGCAAACTAACTGAAGTCTCAATAATTGTACTGTTGAGGTTTCCACAGAACAATTTCAAAAAGACAATTGAACTGCTCGGTAGTTCTACTGTTAATCTATCATTGAAGAAATCAGTTAGTTTGACATGTGTCAAAGAATATACATGTCGCGAAGCAACAGGAACGTGAAGAAGTAATATGAGAATATATTGAAAGTCAGCAGAAGCTTGAATGTAACTTAACAATAGGTTTACGGACATTTATTGTACAGTTTATTCTATTGTTCCCAGAAAGATTGATGTCCGTCCGTTTAAATCTAGATCAAATGTTTAGAAATGTATTATTATGAATCATAATCGCATAATTGAATCAATCAAGATCGACCCAAACATTTAGCAAATAATGTTTATAAAATTTAATACGTGTCAAATTGGTTCGTTTAGTATATCTAGTGTTAATCTATCATTGAAACAATTAGTGCACTTTATAAGCAAGATATAAGGGAAACTTCCGGTGGCACGGAATGTGTTGAGGAGTTACATTATAGATGAACATTTCTGGCATAAAAATACCAGTATCCATAATTAATAATTTAATATTAATTATAATATATTTGTAATTATAATAATTACATATTCACGTCTTTAATGTAGATGTACTTAAACTATACATCGTAAAAGTACAAATTTTTATATAAATTTACATTTTTAAAAACTATTCGACTCTTGTTAACTCAAAATTAATTGAAAACCTCATCGCTTCGACTGGACAAAAATATTCAAAACATTGTTTATTCGAAGCATGTTCGGTAGAAATTTTTCCTCCCATGTGACAAGTATTATTTGCCCTTTTTAACGCCCTGTATATCGCAGTGCTCCTTATTTACACTGGCAAGGAATTCAAAAAGGAATAAAAAGGAATTAGAAACCTGTTTTATCGGCGATGTGTACCGACAGCTGCATTTTGTTTGTTTTCTTTGCATGAATTTACATTCCAATCAAGAAATACCAGGGAAATGAGGAAAATATTCCCAATAATTAAACTACCTTGAATTTTATTCTCTCGCATCTTTACTGTTTTCATTATCTTACAAGAGAATTGTTCCTTCATCATTATTTCATCGATACCAATCTCCCTTATTTTGTATGCTTCATTTTAACCCTTTGCACTCGGAAGCTTTTCACTAGAAACATTCGACACTATCCGATAAGACACAGACGACATTGTTTGAAACGAACCAATGAGAAAACACACGTAAATTAAGAAACAAAGCTATTTTATATAAATGTTTCACATATTGATGCATTATACAAAACTTAATATTATGTGTAACAGTTTGTAATTTTATTATATCAAATCAAATGGTGACTAAGAGTCACCTCTCGAGTGTTGAGGGTTAACACTATTTCTACTGAAAGTGTCGAAAGAGACCTTTTTCTTCACCCTGGATAACCTGTGTCAGGCACCCCTCGCTCATTGGAGGGGGGGAGGGACAAGGGGTAGCGTGAGATTTTTACTCACTAAAAAAAAACAAATGTTTACTCGCTTCAGGGGTGTTCCATCCCCGGCCAAAACAGAGGGTGTCCCGGACCCAAACATTTACCCTCGGCGACACCCTCCGACCCAGTATATGCCAACACGACACGCTAGTACTCGCAACACTAACGACACGGAAAGCCTTCGTCTCAGAAAACGCGGTCAAGACCCAAAAATGTGGAACGCTTCACGATTTTGCGTGTCTCACTTAGCCAACCGAATGGAGAGTAATCTTTTCTGTTGTTGTTTAGTAATTCTTGAAGTGGGATTATTTATAATTCATCAATTCATAATTCATTCATTCAAAGTTTTCAACCAAATTATTTGAACGAGTTCGATCGAAAAGAATGGAAGAGGTTGCAGTTATAGTTCTTTTTAGGCTGCCTAAGTGTTAAAACAGAATTGGTTTCACGTTGAAACTCATGGAATGATATTGTTGGAATAACAGAATTGTCTTCTGCATTTCAGGCGTACGTCGGCCGATTGGAATTGACAGAGTCGAGAACAGAATCGGTTAAAGCGATCCAGAGGGGCGGGCCCCTGAAGTACACCATTCATTTTCCTCTTCCTCACCAAGTGCCAAACGTGAACGAAATTCGGTTCAATGGTCAACAAATTTGTAGCGATCGGCGCGGTACGTATTCCTTCTCCAGGAACGAAGGATCCTCTCTGTTTCCGCGTCAGCGTCATCAACAATTCCAACTAAAAGTGGATGCGTAAAAATATAAATGCGTGACATTCTTCAGGAATTAATCATTCTCTGTAGTTACGGTGTATTTACTGAGCAGCTCGATGAGAAGGACGAAGATTTAGGAGTATTTGAAATCGTCAGTTGTTTATTGAAACAATGTGAACATTGTCTAACGATGCGCGAACCTGAATTTTTCAACAGTAAAATGTTCCTGTATTTACATTCGTTATGCAGGTTGTCCCGCGTGTAATTGAAACGAAGCGTATTTTTTTAAATAGATAAAAGATAGATCTCTCGTTTCGTACGCTAGTAAACTAAGTACATAGAAGAGAGTTAGTAAACTTGCATTATTAGTTTAAAAACAGTTATTTATATAAAGTCATTTACCCATAGTTTTCTATTGTATGATGAGTCATGTTGTAATCGCGTTTCAGAAAACAATAATTCCTAGATAAACCTTCTGACAATGAGTACATTATACAAACTTTATAATTTTACTGTATAAAACCAAGTGGTGACAGAGTCCCAAGTGTAAAGGGTTGTTAATAGTCCACACTGATAGTTTACAGACAAATCCAATTATAAATGATCAAGCTGAAGTAATTATTTTCTATTTCAGCTACAGGGCAGGTGATTACCTCTATCGTCCTAAATCACACACTGTTTCCACCGAGTACGTCGCTTCTGACCGTGGACGACAGGAGTTTGTTCCTCGACCTACAGAGTTTAGACGACACAACATCCGAACCCGATATTCGGCCGCCCACTGTTGTTACAAATACACCGGCAACGTTTACACCGAGTCCGCCAGTTCCAACGATTCCGTCAGTTCCAACGATTCCGCCGAGCCCACTTATCCCAAGCATTGATCTACTCTCAGGACAATGTATATTACCTGCAATTTCAAACCAGCTCCATTTTTCAACGCAAACGCAATGCGGTCGTCGTTCGAATTTTATTGGCCTGGTCGCAGGAGGTCAGGTAACCAAGCGAGGTGAGTGGCCTTGGTTGGCTGCTCTGTTTGTTGTGTTAAATCAGTACAAGTTCCAATGTGCTGGGTCGCTGATAACACACACTCATGTCATTACAGGTATGCAGATTTTCTTTTGACACTGTAGTTCTCATTCTTTTGTAGCTGTATAGTTTAACGCTTAGCCAACCGAATGCGGAGATCTCCCACTTTTCACTTAACAACGTATTGCCTTTTATTCCGTTTATCTTTTCTTTTGTTATTTAGTAAGTCTTGAAGTGGGATTATTTGTAATTCATCAAATATGTTTTTTGCTTTTACAAAACAAAGCTTTTAATTACATTAACTGAATGAGTGTAATTGAAGATAATGGAAGAGGTTCTCAGTGTACTTTATTAGCAAGATATAACCGAAATTTTCTAATAAATTTCTATAGTTTAATTGTGTACATTAATACTTCACGTGGGTTTTCATATATTTTCATTTCAGTTCTCCCTTTAAATTCGCGAACTTCTGTTTAGCTATATATAAGTCATCGTTCAAGGAATCAATGAGTCGTTCTTATACCTAATTAGTTTCTCTTCGTATTCAATCGAACCTTGTCAAGTGGGGGAAATAATTTAGAACTCAACCAGACATGTATAGAACTTGCGATTGGGCTGAAAATCAAAATACTTTCGACAGTTGTTACCGGTGTTTCGTGTGATATTACATTTCAGATTTTCTTTTCAGCCGCGCACTGCATGTGGTATTTTGACGTGAAGTTACCAGTGGGTGCATTGTCGGTGTTCTTGGGGCGTTATTACCTTGAAGACTTCAGAGAGGAAGGTTCAGTGCCTCGGAAAATACTTTCTATCAGTATTCACCCTGACTACTTGAGTCAGAAATCAACAGGGCTAACTACTGCCGACGCTGATGTGGCTATATTGAAATTACAAGAAAGAGTCGAATACAACCAACTAATCCAGCCGGTATGCCTTTGGGCGGGCTGCAGGGATTTGTTTAAAATTATTGGAAAGAGAGGAAGTGTAGTGGGTTGGGGTCGCGACGAGCAAGGCCATCAGACCACTCAGGAGCCTCGCGTAGTCGAGGTCCCAATTGTTAGCACGGTAAATATAGTCAAGGTTTATATTTATTAGTTCTATCTGAAACGTATTCTTTTTTTCAATAGATTTTCTATCAAAATTTCCCTTGCACTGTGATTAACAAGAGGCCTGACAAGAAAACGGTTGAGTTCCGACCACCTAGTTCGTTCGAAACATACTCCTCCGTAAAGAATAGAATGCACTACGATAACAGAAAACAAATTTGACCTTGAGACTCAAGATCAAGGTCAATTTGACACTGATTTCTTTAATCAGATGTTTACTGATAAGTTTCATACATTCCGTACATTAGCAGTTCAAATAAAATAAAGTCATGTCCACCCGTTATATTCGATATATTCTTTTCGTTTCATTTTGTGGTATTTTAATATTTTAAAATTGGAATTTTCTTTGTTGCATTTCGCGAAAGGCGATTTTCGAACATTCCAGGCACAATGTGTCACACGAATCATTGAACAATGATAATATGAACCGTTTATTTTGGCAGTAACTTAAATTCACTTGAACAAAGATCGTAGAACTATTAAAGAATACAAAGGTTATGTAGAATTATAACTATTCTTATGGTTAACTTGATTTTGACGTTTGCTACCAGCGTCAGAAGTTTGTGACGGCCGTAATTCTATATTCTACATAATGAAAACAAAATGAATCCTATAAATATTATAAATACTATAAACTCAACGACGTAGATTTATTGGATTGAAGCGAATATTATAATTGAGGAGACCGTCACCGAAATAAACTCTGGTAGCGAATGCGTTAAGCCACTGTCAAAATAAACGGCTCATATAATCATTTGGCAAACGTACGTTTTAGAGGAATGCTAGGATTGAAATGCGTAACTTGTACAAATTATCATTTCGTTGAATTGCAGTTAGAGTGTCACTGGAGCTATCGGCCGTTTGCAGAAGTAACATCGAATCGGACATTCTGCGCGGGTTTTAGAAACAGTACTGGCCCTTGTAACGGTGACAGCGGAAGCGGGTTGGTAATATACGATAAAACGAGGGGACGCTACTATCTTCGAGGTATTGTTTCCTTATCAGCTTCTGACAGGTCCAGTAATTCCTGCGATCTCAATAAATACGTGATTTATACGGACGTCGCGATGCATCTCGAGTGGATATACCAGCAAATTTCCACTTAGGGACTGTAAAAACTCATTCGTAATTATAAATATGCTAGTCGATTAGTGTTTGGTTATAAATAGATTGCGGATTTTCTGCATTTATATCAAACAAGATTGTCTACGTCCCAGTGCAATAAAGAGTATAATACAATGACGAGTAGATTTATAATGTTATGTGGACTCCGATAGCACTCCTGACACGGAGATCTCATTTTTATTTGGTTGTTAACGCTAGAACTATCGAATAGTCGAATTGAAGTTTAAAAATTTTTCCATAGGGACTCTAAAGTTACAGCTATTGAAATTTCAATCGACTTGTGATCCAATTCGCCTGTTACTAACTCAATTTCTTCGGTAATTTCGCAAAGCATCTTATCTTTTCAATAATTGTAAAAGAATAATTCAATAGTTCTAGTGTTAAGTTTCATGTATTAACACGTTCCGTGCTGAATTTTCCGTTCAGGCCGCTTGGAATTCTCATTGAAAGACGAAGAACTTTTTACAGATTTACTGTACAGTCAAATATAGGCATCTTAACACTTAAGCAACCTAAAGAAGACTATAACTACAACCTCCTCCATTATCTTCAATTGAATTCGTCCAATGAATTCAGTTAGGAACTGTATTTTGTAAAAACAAGAACAGTATTTGATGAATTGCAAATAATCCCACTTCAAGACTTACTAAATAACAAAAGAAAAGATAAACAGAATAAAAGGCATTACGTAGCTAAGTGAAAAGTAGGAGTTTCCATTCGGTTGGCTAAGTGTTAATATCCTGTATACCGCGTTCATTGAACTTTATTTAATCGTTGTAACACGTGGCCTGAACGGAAAGTGTCCAAAAATCGGCACGGAACGTGTTGATTTGTCAATATTTATGATTGGGAAAACGCAATCAGTCGTCTGCTTATAGACTGCGGATTTCATACATCTGTATCACTCTATTATTGAAATTTATTGATTATTTATTGATTATTTATTGACTATTATTGACATTTATTTATTAATTTTATTATTTATTTTATATATTAACTGTTACTATTAAAAATTCGTGTATTATCATCCTGATAATGGATCTCGTAACAAAAGGCATGAATGTTTATTCGAACTTTGTGTTCGCAAGTTAATCCGTAGATATTTGTGCGATACTTGCATGACAATCCGCAATTTAATTATAACAGTTGTTCCATCTATACAAGACATTCGAATAGTGTTTTACTTTGTAAGTTCTAGCGTAAATATATGTTGATCTTTCGTAACACGAAAATTCTCTCTGTTTGTGTTACGAGTTTCAGCCTTTCGGTTTGATATAGATTCCAAAATTCTAACTATAAAATAAAGACACAGAAATGTAATTATCTACTCGTTAAGTTGACTATTGTAAAAATTGTTTGAAACAATATAGGACAACATTGATTTAAAATCTCTTGTCGTTTAGATGTTAGTAATTAACGTAGAAGACACCGTTTTATTCGATAAATGATAATAGTGTAATGAAAAGTTATTCTATGAAATGATTCGTTTAAATAAAATAAGTAAGATAGATAATAGAATTCGTATCTTATATATTTCTGTTTGCCATCGTATACCTCGCGTGTATAGAGATGCGGTATGCACAATTAAGCCGAGAGTATGGGAATGTCAGTTTTAAATTGTACAGAGAGACAGAAGCAACAAATCAAAGTAAATGATAAATGAGTCTATCGCTTTGATCAGTGATCGACTTAAATACAAGAATAACTATTAAAGAATATTGTTCGAATAATGATAAGATATGTTCTCCATTAACTGTTTACCGTTTCCTTTGAAAATTTATTGAAAGACAATGTTTTTTGAAATGGATAAGTTACTAGGCCTTGTAACAGTTTTAAGCAATATTAATTTATAAACACTTACAATAAGAGACATACTCCTGTATCTTCGTTAACATGACTGCCACGAGAATTTCGAACGTTTTGTGTAACAAAGACAAATGGCATTAGTAATAATTATTAATGACTTGGTATCACAGTACACGTGTTACACTATCATCTAACTGTTTGTATTACTAAGTATTTTTCTTCGACATCAGTGGTCTTATTGTAATTGTATTTAACCCTTTGCACTCGAAAATTATTCAACACTATTTGACGAGATATAGGTGATATTGTTTGAAACTAATTTAATGATAATTCATAGACAAATTAAGCAACGAAGTTTTATTTTAATATTTCACGTAGCAATGCAAGGTTTAATTTGAAATATTAAATATTCAACTTCACAGTTTTGTTGTATCGAATCAAGTGGTCACTGACTACCACCTCTCGAGTGCAAAGGGTCAAGCAATTTTGAAGCTCCGGTCACCGGTGACCTCCGTGGCAGTCAATGTGTTAATTTCGTGGTCGTTACAGTTACCGAAGACAGGATGATAGGACTAATGAAAGCATAGCAAGATAAGCAACATACTGACAGACAAATGGCACATATGTTTACGCGTAACAATAATATTCAGTATAATCTTCATTAACCGTGACTTCTGTCACTTACAATTCTTGACATTGTGCGAGAACGTTCGAGGATCATGACACTTATTCTGTAATACTATATTCTAGACATTTCAAGACTTTTTAATAACGTATAAACGTACGCTAGGTATAAACATTATTTGCAATCATTCAAATGGAAATGCATTTAATGGTACTTTATACTCACTAAGTATACTCGCTAAATTAGATTAAGTATACAGTATTTTTGCGATTAGTGCCTGATCAGCGAGTATCAGTAATCTTTTTATAATTAGCAGTAGTTTTTTTTACACGGCTTTTCTTCATATTAAACATCCACTCGCGCATTTGTGAGATTTTTCTGATAAACAACGAACTTGAAATACTTCAAATCGCATTTATTAGCAGAAAAATAAATTATCATGACTTATTTAAGAAGCAAATACGTTCGAAAATATTTTTCTAGTTTTATTATTTTATCAAACTGGTAAAAGCTTCATTCAATAAAAGTGTAACATCGTAGTAATTCTTTTCTTTTGATCGTTTACAAGCTCAAATCTTATATGAATTTTAAATCGACACCGCCTCATGATTAGTGGTCATTTGCGGTTCCAATATTTGGATACTGATCGCGAGAATACTGTATTTCGTTGTGTGGCAATATTTTAGTGAAAATGGTATTTCAAAGTACTTTTGTATAAAACGTTAACAGGAATATGAAGAAGTATTTGCTTAGCAAAAAGACTTTTGGAAGGAAGAAATTTGTTTTACAATCTTCACAGTTTGATAGGAAAACAGTTATTTTGTTCTATAAAGGTTTAGTGTTTTTTATTGTTAATTATTTTAAATAATTTCATACAGAAGAGTTACGATATTCATAACATCTGTGCAATTCCTGAACATCTTTAATATTTGTAAGATGCTAGGGCTAGTGATAAAAAATGTTGAATATACAAATTTATATTAGACTGCTTTCTTTGATTGCCGTTTTAAATAATTATGACGGTTGTTCAAAACATAGATACATGCTCATCATATTTTAGAATTAAAAAGAAAATTATTCAGAAGCTTCTAAATATTTGCAAAAATAATTTGTAGCGAATGCTACAAACTGTTCATCACATACAGTAAAAGAACAATCTAAATTTTTTAACAACAATTATTTTAAAAGTGAAGACTTGTATTCATTTTTTTGGACACCCTTTATTAGATAAGCAGATATTTTACAAAACATACACCCGGGAGAATTATTGTGCGCGCATATATTTATAAATGTTTATAAAGGAAAGAATAAAAAGATTAATAACGATTGAAAATTTGTAAATCAAGAATTAGTTACATTGAACAACACTTTGGATTTTATTAGTCATTTAGATTTGATGTTGTATTTTTTATTTAGGAGAAACATAGTATTTTAATTGTTCCATATTTTAATTTTACATATATTCTCGACTTAAATTTAATTGTTTACAAGCTGTAAAGTAAGTCTAGTATATAAATAATATAATCGAAATATTTTCGCAAACATCTCTCTCTTTCTTTTTTTCCCATAAATGTATTGCACTCATAATGTAAAATGATAATGCACATGTCAAACTTATGATCATTTGAAATCATTTTATCTTAATAAATGTTTGTACTTTTTATACGTTTGATTTATTGTACAATCAAATATTGTCCATTACGTCGAGGGTGGGTGAAATATGTTTATACAATTTTGTTGGAAAATGTAATTGCTGGCAGAGCTGAAAGTAACAACACTTTGTAATCGGTAAGATAACATAGGGATACATATCTCTATTTATTTGTTGTTATACACTCTTACACATAAATCATTTCTTATATATGTATATCTATAAAGGCAAGCGAAGAAACTGAAGAAAATAAGTGTACAACAATATAAATTATATAGAATGATATGTGTAGGTAAAATATATATGCGACAAAAGCACCCAATGATACGCATATCAAATTTCGTGCAGTAAGCAACTACAAAATTACAATAAAAAAAGATGCGTTCTAATTGTAACTAGTGCTACATAACATACAGTGTGTCTAAGTTGGTTGTATGGGCTAGAATGCCTTGCATGAAATTCAAACCACATGAAAATTCCTTCTGCAATACTTCATTTGGTTTGAACCATAGGAGGAAATATTATGAAATATAATTCATTTTCTGTAAGTGCTATTATCGACAACATTATAATATTAACTTTTTATATAGAGTGATTTGCAGGATTCAAAAGAATTCTATATTCGATATTACAATGTGAAATTTGGTAATAATAAGAAAACAATCTTTGAACTCTTAATAAAAATATTAATTTTGTGTAATGTAAAATCAATACAAAAGTTTCATTCATTTCTGCGAAATGGTTTTGTGAACACTGTATGTGCAAGAATATAATTTTCCTTCATTCCATACATAAGATTGTAGCATTTACAAAAAACTCGCACACTATATATTACACATGCGCCATTGTGTTATGATCAATGCTATGACATTTTGTTCGAAGATGCTGCAAAGTATGCATTTTCCAAAAGAAACGTAAAAGGAGAGGTTTGGAATGTATCAGTGAAAGTAGTTCCTCCTGTATCATAAAATTATGTTCTTTATTGTCCCATTGAAGAAGGTAAGCAAAAATTTTTTCATCTCTAAAATGGCTTACTAAAAGAGTTTAGTAAGCCCACATCTGGGATTAAAATGCAGTATATCGTGTACTGTCCAGTATTCATACTTGTTCTGCTTGGAAGTATTGTCGAGCAACTGCCCCTAACACGATTTCTGCACTGAACACACCTATAAACGTTACAGGCACGTTAGCATGAATTTCTTAATACTTAATATTTCTTAATACGTATTTGGTTTTGAGTGTACTATTTTTCCAAATTATTCCCTTTCTTTCAATTATCAATTATAAATATAAAGTTGGTAATATATTACTATCAACAAGAAAAAAAGAACAATTCAAATATTCTTATATTATTGAATATATACAGTATCTAAAGAGGAGTAGCAAACGAAGATTTCTCAACATAGATCTCACAACAAATCTTTTCAGAATAAACCATAATTTTGAGTACCATAAGAAATCTGTTTGAAACATTATGAAAAGTAAATATTTCAAATACAAGATTACAACATTTCATTCTATTCTTATCTATATACATTCTAATACGTTTATTTTTATAATGTAAACATATCTTTTCTCGACATTTTTATTAATTATTAAATTAAATGACTAATAAAATTAAGCAGTTTTAATTATTTCAAAATAATAATCGAAATATAGTAATTGGCTACTTACTGATATTTGCACGTAAAACGTCGGAAAGTAGATGGAGGTCGTTTTCATGACTAACAATGATATAAGTTAATTTAGTACTATTCATTTCTTGGATCTGCGTGACGGATCTCCGTGTCTTTTCCATTGTTCCACCCGCACTTTCAATAATTTCTGCGATCGCCGGCGGCGATGGTACAACACTTGGTGTGACATAAAATATTTTACCCTGTTAAAAAGAAAGAAAACAGAATTTTCACTTAATAACGTTATCTACTAACGTAAATTAACCCTATCGTTACCAACATACATTCACATGGTTTCTATTAATCTTACATGTAACGAAAAATGTTTAAAATTCGAGATTGATTGTAATAAAATATTTTACCTTGTTAAAAAGAAAACGGAATTTTCATTTGATAACGTGATCTACTAACGTAATCCTATTCTAAGTTAATCCTAAGTTAATAAAATATTACAAAACAGATCTATATTATATCTATCTATAACAGATCTACAATATATTAACGCATTGCGCGCCGGCCCCGCGATAATGCGGTATTTTTAGTCTATCGTTTAATTGCTGATCCTACGTTAATGTAACATTTTAGATATGTATAACACAAATCCAAAGTACAATTATAAAATCCTTATAAGAATAATTATCCTTGTAAAAATAATAATAATTCTTATAAAAAGGATTTTTTGTAAGTTAGAAATTTCAGTTTGATTGATGTTTAAAAATGTATCAACATAATCACCGACGCTCTCGTTTTTAGTAGCTGAAATATAGCCGGCGTACAATGGTGTTAAATATCAAAGTGGCAAGAAGCAATCACCTTAAGTACTGTTCCACGGTTGGGACTTGACAAAGCCTTTTCAATATTAAAATTAAAATTCTTCTCGAATTCCGGATCGCCGAGTATGTACCCACTTTCATCTAAGAATGTGTTCCTCGCGGAACAATCGAGTAACCACTGTAACGTGACAATATATTTACAACGCGATAGACAACACAAAAATTTTACAGTTCTTATCGGTGCTAACATCACGAGATGTGTAGCGTCTCGCCAACTGGCAGCCATTGCACCACCTAATTCCCGAATTCTCTGTTGACAAAATAATATATCATTAGACGGTTAATTAGCATTAATAGTATTCGATATAAATCCTTTAAATTAATTCCCAGTAAACATTACTGTGCTCGCAGTAAAACACTCGAAACGATCGCATAAAAAATAAACACTTATACACAAATTTTCAAACGTTTATAGTCGATGTAACATATGTTTGTAAAACTGAAAAATTCATTATTTTTTAACATTCAAATATTGAAACAAATCAAATTTTCTTCTTATTTGAAACCCTCCTGAATTATTCCAGGCAGATTATGCAAAATGTCATTAGATGTAAGAAACAACGGTAGCTTAATTTAAGACTGAAAATATAAAATATAAAATAAATTACAAGTATACATAGGCAAATGTACACATTGCCAAGGAGTTGAAACCTGCGAACACAATTATTTCACTGCGTTAATCATCGCTAGATTGCGAATATTTATGTACTCGTGGTAAATATAAATATAAGGAATATCCCACACGAGCATCTTCTATGCAAATGAACCTTTCCTCTTAATTACATTTTATTCCTCGTATCTTCAAACTAAAACTATTCAAATAAAAATCTTTCATTTGCTCAATATGCGTTCGTATAATCGAGAGCGAGTGAAATTCTATGCGTTAAAAACGAAAAAGAATCAGACATACAAACAAGCTCTATTATCCGAGCGTCGCCAAGGATCGACGATACAGCGACACTATGAATTTGAATAATTAGTATTTTAAATGAAACGTATTGCTATGTGAAATATTTCAATAAAATAGGTTTGTTGCTTAATTTATATATGAATTATTGTTAAATTAGTTTCAAACAATATCTATATTTTATCACAAAATATTGAATATTCCCAGCGAGAAATTTTCGAGTAAACGGTGAACTCGCAAATCGTGATCAGCTACACATCGTTCGAATACAAAAAAATCCGCAATCAAGTGATCGTAATTAACAGGTTCGTTACCTTCGCATGTTTCCTAGGATTGATACCAGAGAATAATATTCTCGGTTGCTTATCCGGAGAAGGAGGATCAGGATTACTGACAACTATCTGCTCGTCCAGGCCCAGCAAATGCGGATCTTTGTTCAACAATGGTCCGTCCAGCCGTGGCTTTTTATATTTCCTTATCGAGTTTGGACCTTGGCCAACCTGCTTTACTTTATCATAAGACTCTTGGGTAATGTTTATCGGCATCTTCCATGCAACTGAAAGGAGCGTCTTTTAGATGATGGGAAAACGTGGAAACGGCGATACGATCAGCCATAAGAATCGAGGATTCTCTTATTGTAAAAGAAAGGTAATCAGCGATGTTCACGATACCCATTAAATGAGGCACTAGCGAATAATCCAATCTAAATGGATTGCTGGGACTATATTGTTGGTATTTAGGGTTTTCGATTTGGTGGAGAGCGTTCATTTGCCCGCATAGCAAGTCCGTCAACCACTGAGCATTCACTACTCCAGTCTGCCATTCCCGCGCCTTTTTATACTTTTGACCATCGGGTCTGAAATGTTTTTCTTTTCGTTAAATGAAGGAATGTTTGGAACAGTTATCTACGCTACGGCCATTTACACGAAGACGACTCTTTATGTACATTCTATTCATTATGTTTGCATTGTTGCCGGTAGTGTATCTTTATCACTTTGACTGCCGCGTCATCCACATTCGACTGACGCCATTTCTCATGTAAACTTCAACATTAACCCTTTGACGAATGTCGACATTTCGTTGAGATGACATTTTCATATGAGGAATATTAAGATGCGAACGAATCATTTAACTAGAACTACCAAGCAGTCAAACTGTCTTTGAAATTTCTGTGTAGAAACTAAATGGTGCGACTATTGAGGCTTCAATTGATTCGCACTGTAGTTTCTGTATTACTAAATTAATTTCTATAGTAACTTCTCAAAGAAGCATCAGTTATTTTTTCAATAACTGGGAAAAAAGAAGTCATAAATCATTTTGCCCCATCCAGTAGTTCTAGTGATAATTACTTGAATAGTAAGTGATCAGTGTATAGTTTCCTTTTTCTATTGTTTAAGCATTCGATGTGTAATTTAGCTTCATACGTTGCAAGTTTTGGGTACTTTAAAGAGTCTTCGTCAAAGGGTTAATTTTAGAGTTGTGTTGGATGTATGAAACATAAGAAAGATAGTAGAGCAATCGTTACGAAGAATCTTGATTTTTTAGCTTCTGCTTAACGCGTTCACTACCAGAGTTTATTCCGGTGACGGTCTCAATTATATTTTCTTCGATCCAATAAATCTAAACAAAATGTCAGAAAAATGAAACTGAAACGAATCATTGAGTTGCTAAATATAATATCGTAGTTAATCATGTATAATAACATATCTATAGGATTCATTTCATTTTCATTGTGTAAAATATAGAATTGCGCCCGTCACAAATATGTCACGCTGGTAGCGAACGCGTTAAAGAAAACTGTTTCGAGTGCATACGAGTTTTGTTGAGTGTTTACTTGGCAGTCAAGGTGTTAAGGGAGGAATATACGTAACGATAGATTCTTTCTTCGAGAATTGACATTAGTTTGATCTGTTTTCATTGTTGGCTGCCACGGTGGTCACCGATCACCGGAGCTTCCAAGTAACTCGAGAACAATTGCAATAAGAACATTGATGGTGTATACAAATAATTGGTAACTTAAGTAGCTAGATAATAGTGTAACAGTGTGGTGCGAGGTCATTAACATTAAACCTACCAGAGGTGTTAAAATAACATATTTCTGATTTCTTTCTTTTTGTAATTGTTTGGAAGGCAACAGATGTTTGTATGCGAAATTATTAAAGAAATTGATTTAGTGATTGATAAATTCAATGGTAAATCAATGGGAATTACGATAGATGTACTCTTGGAGTTTCTATCGAAGAATTGTGGAAAGTTGATTCAATTGTTTGGTAGTTTTAGTGTTAATAACTGTTTCTAATACCATTCGCCTCTGTTACGAGGTATTACTATTGAAAACATTTGAGATTCTCGTGACAGTCAACGTGTTATAGGTTTTGCACTCGAAACTCATTATTTTGCAAATCAAATTCACCCTTTTGCAAATCAAGTACTTCTACATATATATTTTATTTAAAAAAACATGAAATGTCAATTAGTAAGAAGTCAAGAATTTTATTACAAAGAGGAGTATTACATATTTATTTAAAAGTAATTACCAGTTCATTAAAGTCAGTAAAAATTTCGTATATAATCCATATAATTACATAATGAATATATTCGAAGTAAACAATATAACTATTAAACGTCCACGTTTTCCTGTTATTATAGCAACGTTATTCAATTATTATAAATAATCCCAGACCGTTCTAAGAAACAGAAATTTTAAGCGTTGCATGGAACATATCAATAAAAGTATTTATAGCGCTTCTTGACAATTCCGCTTACTTTTACTTTTCAATAAATACATAATACACCCCTCTACAATACAATTGTCCATTTCTCACAAACTAATTAACGTCTGATGTTTCTTTAATACTATTTCTTCCGAAGATGTCAAAAGACACCTCTGGAATTTTCAAATTAAAATTATTGTCCGACCTTACTCTTATATTCTCAATTGAGTATCCAACTTTTTCAGTAACAATTATAATATTAACTACGGGAAACGTTCAAAATTCAATTGAAAACACAATTAAACTAAAAAAGTAATTTTATATAAAATATGCAATAATAAGATATATAGTGTCTAATATTATGTAGTAATATAATAATAATATTATATAACAATATAATAATAATAATAATAATAATAATAATAATAATAATACAGAAATATAAGAAATAGCGTCAAACAAAATACAAATGCCCAGGTTCGCAAGAGTTTCAATTTACCAAAGTACTAAATTTGCTTAGCAAAACTCTGAGCTCGAACTGCAAAACCTACAGTACAACCCTTTACAATCCCTTCGATCAAACAAGCGGTGTAACGTCGTTAGTAGTACGGATAGCTGACAAAGTAAACGCCGGGTACCTTCTGCAAACAAGAAGAGTGTTGTGTCTGGTGAAGTAATTGGTAACTTTCGATCCCAACGCTTCCAGCATGTACTTCACTTTGGCGCGCTCCTCCCCTTCGAATCCGGACAACGATACAATTTGTTTCGCGCACGGTAGCTCCGTCAGGCTGAACGGCGTCGGGAAATGTAGCGCGTGCCACGGGGGTAGCACCTGTTGTTTACTGACAACATCGGACAGCCAGTGTGCACTGACGCAACGTTTCCCCTCGCGCAGCGCCTGCACCACGGTCGGATGTTTCTGCGTGATTGCGAGCACGTGGGTGGCTCGGGTGCAATACTGCGGCTCGACCTCACCCCCGTGTCTCTCGATCACTTGCTTCCATATGGAAACATCGTTCGGACGTTGCACGTCGTACTCAACGATAACAAAGATACAGCCTAGCAAAAATAGATCTGGTGGCACTGAAAGCATAAACAATGGAACGTTATTCTTGGGCAACGGAGATCATTGGTCGAGGAAGTCTTCTAGTTTAACACGTTCGATCCATAGTTTGTAGAATTTCTTAATGTAAATGTTTCTGATTGAAACTGTGGGTAGAGTACGGTGTTATGCTTGGGAAGTGTCCTAAAGTCTGGGGAAACGAAGATACAGAAAGTAAGAGCAAGTTATGGGGAACAGTGAATTAGTGCACTACGAGTCTTTTGTGGTTTTGATGTACGGGAATTCTACTAGACAAATATAGAGCTCAAACACGTTTCTAGCAGATTGTTGATATCGTACAATGTTTAATACGTTGAATGCCACGAATTATGTAAATTCTGGAGTATTGTTTTTTTTAATTATAATGGAGATTTTAAAGACGACTGCTCGAAACTTGGATTTTTAATGGTGTCTCATGCTTTCCACAGGAATTAGAGGCTTGATCAGATTGTGTGTTTGAGTACCTGTCGTCGTGATTGGAACTAGGATTTTGCTATTGCGATAGAATAATAGATAGGATAATTCTATTGAATTAAATGAAGATATTCTAGTTTAGAGAAACGAATGTAGTTCAAAGAAATTGATTGATGTCGATGGTGATAAATATGGTACTATATACATAATATTTTAAGAAATTTGGAATACGCACATTTATTTAATTCGTTAAAAAATTGGAAAGTCTCTCTACAATAGCGTATTTAGACTAGAAGACCCCCTTAATCTATTTCTGTGCCATTTGGGATTAGACTCGCAAAACTTACTGTTATTAATAATTATCCGATAGGAAAAGGAGTGAAACATTCATTAGAAGAGTCGGTTTTTACCACACAACTTAAATATTTATATCTATTAAAATCAATCTAAGGGGTGGGCTGGATATTATAAGGCAAGAGGTTAAGGATAGGATATACTAATAATATTATTAATACTACTAATAATAATATATATTAATTATATGATAATATAATTATATAATAATAATAATTATATAATACCATATAATAATATTATATCATTATAATACCATTCATCATCCATGACAGTTACAGATACTTTTCCGGCTCTTATAACAGTTTCAAGGAGATACATTTGAAATGTTTAATTACAATATAAGCGGATATTTCATCGATTTTCAAAACTGTTTCAGTTAGAACCGATATATGAGAATTTAGAAAAGTTACTCTCAAAATCGTTTCGATTCGAAATTATGATAAAGTTTGATGAAAACAAATGTTTGTCATTTCAAGATATTCTCTTGTAAGCCTAGGATACTTAGGAGTGGTAGTGTTTGTTCAGATACACAAAGGTATGTACACATTTTCTACATTCTGCGAGGTGCACTCGAGAAAGAAGGATTTACTTTGAGAAAAATGATGAAGTAAATAGGTAAAATATAATTCGTTATAGATTTCGTACAATTATTATTCAAATTTAATTGAAGCACCGAAGACAATTGCCGAGGGCAAATAATAGACCTACTTCTCGTAGACCTAGTATTTCTGTTCAATCGTTCTTCCGATGCCAATTATTCAGGATTAGTTTCTATTACAGTCTAGCAAGAAAAAAGTAGAATATTAATGTTCGCATTAATTCGATGCTTCGTGAATAGACGGCGGATGTTATGCGGATACGTGTATGTTAATGAACTAGATCACGAACGTTAGGATTGAAGAATGATTGATTGAATCGATGAACAGTTTGATTACACATTAAATAAAATAAAGATCTCGAAGCTTTATAAAATACTTTGTTATAGCGAGTTTTTCAAAAGTTAATGCTGTCAGCACGTATAATCAGCAGTCTATTCATGATGAAAGTGCAAAGGATTATGTACATTTAACACTTAAGCAGCCTTAACCCATTTGTAGTCAACGTTTCAAAATGGAAACAATCAGGAACTCTGTATAGCTGATACTACTATTCAACTTTCCCGTCCAAAACATTTACTTTTCAAACTTGAATTAAGATTTATGTTATTTCTAAATACATAAAATAATTTGAATCATTTAATTGTATTTCTACACTAACAATAAGATTAAATGTGATTATTTCTGTTTAAAAGTATCTTATTTATCTTTATATATTGTTGAAACTTCAAAATCTGTCAAGTTTGCATTGAGAAAACTAGAATTTAATTTGAGAGACAACAAATAAGACGAGAACTTTGTTACAAATGGGTTAATCAAGAGTTTCGAGAACAAAAAAAATAAGAAAAGCGTACGTTTTAGGTTTGGATTGTGTCCGTAGAATTGAGCTTTTGCCTGTGGCATCACTGGGGCGTACTGCATCTTTATTGGAGCCCCGGGTGGTGCACCATTTGTAATATTTCCAATTGTCCTTCGTTGATAAGCAGCAAGAAGTTGTGGGTCTTGAGATGGGGGTGGTGGTGGTCTGTGTTGGGCGGTCATTAATCTTAGCTGACCAGCAGCACTGCCTTCGGTTGCACTACCTTGTAATCTATTGGTCAACATGTTTGCCAAAGCAGTTTTTGTCTTTGCATTGACAACTAATTGTTGGTCTGGTGATATTTGAACATTATTCGATAAAGATGTGAGGGGTGGCTCCTGCTGTGCACTCTGTTGCTGTTGTTGTTGCTGTTGTTGCTGCTGCTGCTGCTGCTGCTGCTGTTGTTGCTGCTGCTGCTGCTGCTGCTGTTGTTGTTGTTGCTGCTGCTGTTGCTGTTGTTGCTGCAGGTGTTGTAATTGTTGTAATCTTGCCATTTGTTGCTTCTGCATATGTAATTGCGCTATATGCTGCGGAGTTAGAGGTTGGCCCTGTTGAAATGTCTGGCCAGGTTGTCCAGCTTGTGGACCTTGTACGGTTTGTCCAGTTTGTACGATCACTTGATTGGAAGAATTGATTGGAGTTAAAGCTGGTGGTTGAACACCGGGATGCACTGGTTTCTGGCCAGGTGTCTGTGCTATTTGTGGCCCTATCATTTGCGGTCGCGGTTGTTGAACCCATTGTAAACTGCCTGGTTGTACTGGCTTTCCTGGACTTCTAATAACAGCAATGTGGGCTCCCTGTTGAGCTTGTCGGTTTTGCATTTGTCTTTGTAGTATTAGGTTCTTCTGTTTCTGTATCTTTTGTATAAACTGAGCTCTTTGTTGTGGGTCCATTTGCTGTAACTGTTGGTGTGTTTGAGCATCCAATTGAATCAGCTGTCTTGGTGGTTGCGGTGGTTGTTGAGCCCACTGTCCACTTGGTCTTTGAGGACCAATTTGTTGCTGTTGCTGTCTTTGCAACTGTAAATGATACTGCTGTTGCTGCCACTGTGAATCTCTTTGTACAATAAAACTTTGCTGATTTGGTCCCAGTAATTGTTGATTCTGTGGTTGCTGTTGCAATTGGCCATCTCTTATAACAAATTGTTGTGAACTTTGAGGCGCTGATTGTTGCAGCTGTTGAGAAATTTGTTGAATTTTCTGTTGTTGTTGCTGTTGCTGTTGTTGTAATAATATTATTTGTCGCTGTTCAGAGGTAAGTTGCTGTGGCGGCGCTTGTTGCTGATTCAATTGATGTGCTCCAATTTGTTGTGGTTGTGTAGGAATTTGCTGTTGCTGTTGTTGTTGAAGAACTATTTGCTGTTGTGATGTTAATTGCACTTGCTGTTGTTGGACCAGTTGTTGTTGAGGTGCAATTTGCTGTTGCTGTGATAAGTGTTGTTGTGAAAGTATTTGCTGTTGATTCAATTGTTTTTGTTGTTGGCTTAGCAACTGCTGAGAAGATGATAATTGATGTTGAGGTATTTGTGAATTTATTTGTTGTTGTTGTTGTTGTTGTGGCATTAATGGTTGTTGTGCTCCTATTAATTGTGATTGTGGTGTTAATTGGGGAGACTGTTGTTGATTTAAAAGCTGTTGTTGAGTGTAAGTTTGTTGTTGTAATTGTTGATGTTGTGTTAGTTGTTGTGACATTTGTTGTTGCTGGTTTATTTGTTGCTGTTGTAGTATCGTATGTTGCATATTCATTTGTTGTTGTTGCTGCTGCTGCTGTTGTGGAGATACTTCCGGTTGTTGTATTTGTGGCACAGCCTTCATTTGAGCAACATTATTTTGCTGAGACGATTGAGGTAACCAGGCAGTTTGAGTAATGTTTTGATCAGATACAGAAGACACGATTGTGGAAGCATTAGATAAACTTGTAGTGGACATTGGACGCGAAAGATGTGGTTGCTGCGCATTAACAGTATTCTGTCCATTTGTCGAGTAAGGAATTGTTGCCACGGTTACATTATTGGCATTGATGTTATGCGATGCACTGGAAGCTACTGGTGGACTTGGTTGATTCCAAGGCATACGTTGCTTAAGTTGTTCCAACATAGCTTTAGTTCTGTCTTGTTCTTCTTGCGTAATATTATTATCCGTATCTTCATCCATAAAACCAGTAATCATAGCTGTGGAACTATTTGGATATATTAAAAGTCTAGGGTGGAATTCCACTTCACTTACAATAGTTCCTTTTCTACAACATTCTGTTATCCAATCTGGAGTTACAATTTGTATGGGATGTCTCATAGCAGTCTCATATTTAAGACCATTAGCTTTTCCAGTAATTAAGTGAGTACAGTACTGGTCTAAACGTAATTGACATTTACCACCTTGCAATGTGATCATTGCCCATAGACTTTTGCTATCCGCACGGCTTACCTGAGACACACATGCTCGCACATTCGAAAATAATTGTGTATCTTCGGGTGAAAAATAATGTGGCCTAGATTAATGATACTGTTAAGGAAATCGATTATTTTGAACTATTAGCATACAAACATTTTAAATAATTACTAATTGAATTATTTTAGTGTTTAATAAATTAAAAACTATTATAGTAGGATACGGTAGAAGTTTGTTACATTTAACAGAATATAAAATCCAGTTTTGTGTAACTGCTGGTATTTCATAAATATCCTTTGCAGCAGATATGTCATTTTCCAATGCATCATAGCCTGCTATTAAATGTGTTACAAAATCACTAAAATAATTCGATCTTTCTGCACCACTTTCTTGTAGTAAGTTTAAAATCTGTAAAGAATTAAAAAATGTCTTTCAATAATGGTCTTTGCTTACTTATCGAAGTCAAACATTAACATAACTGTAAACACAGATATACGTTCGCAAATACTTATGTATACAAATAATATAAATAAAACTAACTGTTTCCCAATAACAGTATATTATTACAATGTAGTATAACTGTTATATTAATAATAATAATACACATTTTACATTTCAGTTAATAATCTTATATACCAATAAATAGAATTGTTATAATTGAATTCATTTAATAAAGAAACATATTTCGTACACGAACATACGTTATGGAAATTAAACTTCATAAATACCATATACCGTGTTTATAGAACGTTACAATCTGTTAAAAATGACTCCATTTTATAACCTCTATCGCACATATCGTGATTCTACTGTGGTAACCGCGAGCAAATTACAATTTATAACAGTCACAGTACATCGATAACAATATTGCAAGATTAATAACATTACATCGAAGTGAATGGAAAAACGCGGGAAACGGTGAAATGACATACCTTGGGATCACCTTCGCCACTGACGTAGTATTTAACATCGGCGAACAGGGCACCATCGAGTTTTAATTCCTCGAGGCCGGCCCTTATATCGCCCATCCTTGTCAAATTTTGAGTGAAATCACGTTCCCCACATCACAACAAAATTGCGCGTTTCTTGAGATCACTCCAGAACTATATACGATATTTGATAACAAAACTCAGTCGCGACGCTTTTGTTATTATTATGATCGTAAGGTTATGTAGCCACTTTGGAGTCGAACGACTCCAATTTTACATTCGAGATATATCGATGATTTCGAGTGCGCTCAGTTTGAATAATGGAAATGCTTAAATATAATTTACTATGGAATAATTTAATCGCGCGATGAAATGCGTTAATTTATTTAATCCATTTCAATTATATCAGATCCAATGAAGATATTATTATATTTGTATTAAACAAACACGTTGTTTATACGAGACGATAAATTTATTTTGTTAATTTCATTTTGAAATATATATTTTTATATATAAAATGGATAATGTAAGTGTTAACATAAATAAAAATTAAATATCATATTTACTAAAGTTACAATTTAAACACGAACACGTGTCTTGACCTCAAAACGATCTTTAAATAGATCAAGCTTCAGCTGTGTATTTATATTAAGGCAGTTTCTTCGAGATTTAGAAAAATCTTTATAATTTTTTTATGTTTCCGATAACTTATAAATAAAAGTACTGATTGTATTGATTTCCATGTTACCAGCAATTAAAATCGATACAGAAAATTTAAATAACAAAATAAAAAGACCTGTGACCTACTATTAATAACAAAAATTTGTATTTCTTTGTCCGTTTCAAATTTTCTGGTACACACATTTTACACAAATATTTAATATTTTAATATTTTAATATTTTAATATTTTAATATTTTAATAATGTTTTAATATTTTAGTAATATTTTAATATTTTAATATTTCAATAAAATTTTAATAACATTTTAACAATATTTTAATATTTCAATAACCAACTTCTCATTTTTCCAGCATCGAAAAACCAGAGGACAAAAGAACACCGCTTACTACAAACATATCCAGTTTTCCCACAATATCCCAAATGTACAAACAAACCCAGAACTACAGCAAAATGAACACCATGGCAGGCGATTGAAACAACACGACAGTTGAAAACATTGTTTACTTTATTGTATACTCTTCTTCGTTCGCGGAGTAGGTACATGTCAGCGTCTAAAATGCTTTTCGCTGTATAATCCATCGAAACTGTTACGCATTGTGTTTCTTTCTCTGTCTCTTTCCTCTCGTTCGTACTTGCACTCTTGCTCTCTCACTCTCGCACACACTCTATCTTCCTTTCCCCATCTGTTTCACTCTCCGCCTCTTTCCCCTTCGGCTCTTTCTCGATCACTGAACCGTTCTTCCTCTCTTCAACTACTTTTCCCTATTTCTTTCTCTCTTGTTCACACGCAAACATTCTAATATACTATAACCATACAGTTTCCTATTTCCTTTAATCATCCTCTAAATGAACATTCACTCCGTTCCTCTCGCTCATAGATAAATAAATTATAGGCTAGTATGTACAAGATCTTCATAGATTTCCTCTCTTACTTAGTAGTCTCATTTGTCACTTAACAGATTTATTCATTTTGTAAAGACTCTAGAAATATTGAGCTTGGTCTGGTCAGTATACGTCATATGTATATTCCCATTAACATTTGTCGATTTGCGTGTGTGTGTGTGTGTGTGTGTGTGTGTGTGTGTTTATGTGTATGCGTGTATGTACATATGTGTGTATAGATATACATTAATGCTGAAAAATATTTGATCGATCGTTGGGTGAATAATAATTTTCACTTTACCAAGTAATCGCTTGAATGTTTATACGTTTGGGATTTGAACACTTCTAACTGAATAATGAACGTGATAATAGGGTAAATCGGTGAAAGATGGCCCAGTTTTTTTAACACTTAGCAGCCTAAAAGAAACTATAACTACAACCTTCTCCATCATCTTTAATTAAACTCATTCAATTAATTCGGTTAGAAACTGTGTTTTGTAAAAACAAGAAGCATATTTGATGAATTGCAAATAATCCCATTTCAATACATACTAAATAACAAAAGAAGGGATAAACAGAATAAAAGGTAATACATTGCCAAGTGAAAAGAGATCTTCCCAATCGGTTGGCTAAGTGTTAACATGTTGAATGCCGCATGATTTCATAAAGAAAAACACAAAATGGAAGAGATAATATTACATCTCAAATCATTCGATTGAATTGTGTTCTTATTATTGCACGTTCGTCTTGCTGAATGTCACCACGTTAGGTAGCGTTATTAACAATATAGGAATGTTTTCAAATAATTATCGAATTGATTATAATTAACCCTTGCACTCGGGAGGTGACTCTCAGTCAGCACTTGATTTGATGCAGTAAAACTGTAAAATTTGATATTTAATCAGTTATACTAATATTTAATTAAGATAATTAATTAATGTTGAATAATACCTCGATAGTGAAATATTCGAATAAAATAGCTTTGTTCCTCAACGCGCTTGTGATTTCTGTTCGAGTTAGTTTCAAAGAATATCGTCTTCGCCTCATCAAAAAATTATATAAAAATGAAATAATTATTTCAAAGGGTTAACAAATAAATCTTAAGGCAACGGGTTAACCGCATGGCTTCTGTGCGGGTCGCGTCATATCATCGACACCTAACGAAAAGAAATATATTTATGAAAGCGAATACACATAGGAAAAATAATCAGGAACAGGGAACTGTACGAGACTCAGTACACTACGAAAAATAATTAAAAACAAAGATCTGACAACTGAAACGACCATCTCACCCAGAATTACCCTAATGCACCACGGTGCTTCTCGTTTCCTTTCTTCTCTAGATTTCGGCTCTAGATTTGAAATGGTCAAATATTTTTGAGCGGTAGTGTATACATTTGTACATACTGCACCGAATCAGGTTATTCATTACTCGGTAGTATCGAATATTCGTCTGTACGATCTTAGTGCAGATTTCCAACAGAATTGAACTAGGGCGGGAAAGGGAAATTGATAGTTGCGCAAATTTTCGTTCAGTTTTACGTTGGTTGTTGTAAAGTTAAATAATATGTAGATATATGTATGTACCTTCGTGTGCGTGTGCGTGTGCGTGTGCGTGTGTGTGTGTGTGTGTGTGTTTCAGGTGTAAATAGATAGATGTAATATGCATATGTTCATTTGTAAGAACAAATTCATAATTATTTCGATCGCATCGATGAAGATTTCAAGGGACGATGATTAATACAGATTCGCAAATCCTGTCGTTACGAGTAAACGGAATTCATAAGAATTTATTTCTAATTGTTTACGTATGGCGAGAGATTCATTGGTACTTGGTTATTAAGTGAATTTCCTTGTGAACGTGTCTGCCACGAATCGAAAGCTTTTTATAATTTAGTTTAATGTCCGTCTCGTGTACAGAATTACATGTTCGAACGGGTGCTTAAGTTTTAATTTTACATATTCCAAGTGTAATATCCTCTCAGGCACCTGTGATTATTTACAATTCAAGGGCTGGGCAATTCAAGTGAAATAGAAATGCGAAACGATTAGTCTACGGGAAAGAAACGCGACACTTGTACATTTAAGATCGGTGATTTCGATAACCAACAGTGTTGTCATCGAAGTGAAACGCTTGAAAGTATTTGCATATCGTAATAAATCTTCGATTTGTCTATGACAAGTTATAAATCAATGGAAGAAAATGAAACGCGATGAATGTTAGTTGAACCGTTGTATATCTAAAGATGTTTCTATAACCAGGGGGACAACTATGCTTAGCCACTTGTGCTTCTCAGATGATCGAATGAATAATTGATTTGAAACGAAGAATTATCGTTCATTCTATTCTAATTGGAATTCGAGTCTACCATTTTGCGCGTAAACAGGAAGCATTGAAATTGAGGGAATTAGAGAACGAAAGAGGGGCGCGAAGACTTATCGGAATGGCTTGTAGTATGAAATAAGCGTAAAACCCTTAAATGTCTTAATCTCTTCTGGCTCTGACAATGTTTTCATCGCGAGGAAATTATTTGGTGAAGAATTAACTTCGACTTATAACGTAACGAAGAAAGATACGATTCGTTATTCAGAAATAAGTTGAAGATGAACAGTGACGTTGGCCGCCATGATGGCCACCGATGACTGGAGCTCAAATTAGGAAATAATTACAACTGATGTAGAATTAAAATGTTTGTTAATGTTAGTAACTAAATAATATAAGAACTATGGTAACGAACTATTAATAATTCCAATACCATTTGCATTTGTTGTGACAAGATAAGTAATATTATACGAAACGCTCTAAATTCTCATGGCGATCAACGTGTTAAGAGTCTTTGTGCGAGGTTTGCTTTTGTTCCAAGAATTTAACACTAAAACTAGTAAATAGGTCGAAATGACTCATTTCTGGTTTCTTCATTTTGCAATTATTAAAAAAATAACAGAAGTTTCTCTGAGAATTGATTAACACAATTTCGCTTTCCTTGTTTCGCAGTGACAGCTTAAAAAAATTGTATTCATTTATTACAATATATTATAAGCCATTTATCATGGCTTTTTTATGTATCTTGTGTTATTATTTCTGATCTATGAACAATGTCGCACAAGTTTGTCAATGTGCAGTAGAAAACGGAAATTAATTGTTCTATAGGTTGCGAGCTAATTTGAGTAAAAGAAAAACGTGACAAATGTTATTTCACCTTATTTCTGAATAAGAAACTGCACAGTTTTCAGATACAGAAAAAGTCATGAAACACTGTGTCCAATTGCGAGGTCATCAAGTAACTTTCAGTGTTACCACGTAAACTGATTCGTGGGAATTGCTGATCCATTTGACATTCGGTTTTTCCAAAAGGATATTTAATATCAAGCTATCAACCGAATTCAAGGGGGAAATGATAAGCCAACAATAGATAATTATCCTCGAAATGAACGTAACGAATATACTTTCACCAATGAACATTGCGTAACATTTAGAAACCTTTTGTATTTTAGTCGATCATCAACGATATCTGAAAGGACTTGTAATTGATTAGTTTTATTTAAGTCTTTATTATAGATATGAATACCTAAATATATGCAGGTTTAAATCACTATAATCTTAAAAATATTTCGAAAAGAAATCATATCGTTACTCGCTAGATACATTACCATTACACGTGCACGTTCTACTTTAACTTCGCAAAATCACACGGGACGAGAAATTAAAATCAGTCCGACGCGAAACGTGAAATCCTTGAAACCGAGACCACTGTTAACAAACGAATCGAATACGAAGTTCTCAGAAAAGAGGACGAATAAATGAAGATGAATGAAATGAATGTGAAATCAGTGAATTGCAGGCAGTCGAAGGCTCGCCATGAAAAGTTCCTTAAAAAAGAAAAACCGTTCGATTAACACATGCAGAGAAGGTGCGAGGGAAATGCACAGTGTATCGAGAAAGTGCATCTGTACGCTCAGTTTCTTCATGATCACTTTATGCGAGAGAATAACGTATTGATCCAATCTGCATTGAGTAGATTAAGTATAATGCGCTCGTTAAAAGATACTAGTAACTCAGCGTTGATAAATAACGCGGAAACAAGAAAATTTTGTAGTTCAAGGAATAATTTGAATGGTGATTGTAAGATATGTTATATTGATTTACAATACTGATTACACATATGACAAGAGAAGCACTAGCACTAGAATTTAAGGGAAAAAGTTGATACTCAGATTGGTAGAAATAATTGTTTCTGTTCTCAGATCATTTTTCTGTACCCTATTCTGATCGTTAGCCAGTGTATGTTTGTTCGTATTATTTCAAACAAGTTAAGCTTCAACATTTAACCCTTTGCACTCGCGAGGTGATTCGGTCACTACTTGTTTTGATACGGTAAAATGATCAGGCACACGATTGCCGAGAGAAATATACGAAATGAAAATAAATAAATTATTGCAGGTTCATCTTGTCGAATGTCACTGCATTAGGCGGCATTGCTAGTAATATATAAAACTTTTCAAATAATCATGGTAATCGAATGAATTGTAGTAATTACGTGTTAACACATTGCGTGCGGGCCATTTTGTTCATTTTAACTGATATCGGTTACATTCAATTCATTTATTTATTATTCAATTGTTTCATTGCAAGTAGAAATACTTTCAATCATACGCAAAAGGAATCAACTATCTACTTCTGTCGAAAATGTTAATGAAGTTATACGAGTATTTATTTAATGCTTCAATATTAGGGTACATGAAAATAATACTTTTACGTTTCCCGCATACAATGAGTTAATATTGAACTTTGTATAATCCCTTAATTTATCGATTAAATTAGTTACATTAGTTGCAATAAATCGTCTATATTTTATGAAAGAGTGCTGAAGATTTCTAGCAAAAGACTTTCGAGTGCAAAGGGTTAACACGTTCACACTGGCAAGACTCACCGGTGGCGTGAACGTGTCAAGTGTAACTTTTGACAGTGATAATTCTGGTGGATAGAAAACATTCTAAAGCTGTATTAAATACTCTTGCAGTTTGTGCTTTATTATTCCGTGAAAACACTTATGAGATACAAAATTCATAAAAATCCGCACACTAGTCATCATCAATGAATGGTATTTATCTGGCTTCTCTACTATAGAATACAGTATATTATTTATTACAGACAACGACTTAATATAAAAGAACGAAGTTTTAACATTTACATATAGCTTTCTGTCGTTTCTCTTATAACGTGTTCCTTTAATTCTTCTGTTACAGCGATCACGTGTCCGACTGCTTTTACTACGAGATTCCCGTTTCTTCCGCGCCAGTCTCCATATCATTAAATCATTCGTTAAAATTTCAATTTCAATCCAATGAAAATATTTCGTTGTTATTTCCACGAAACTTCTATATACCGAGAGAACATATAAAATACCAAGTTATCCATGCCAACTGCCGGTAAAATAGGTTCCCAATAGTCCAATTTCAATCCTCGAACTCTTTCGAATCCTTCGAAAACAGCATAACGCGCAACGAAACGCTGAATGATTCAGACTCCATCAATACGCGATGGTTCCCCCGTGCAAGCCCACCATGAAACAGTCGAGCATACAAATGATTCGTCGATCCACTGCGAATTACGCGTACGATGCAGCAGGCGTGAAACTTATACTCGACATACAAGATGGCCGGGACGATAGAAATGGAACAATCTTTCCGACTAGATAAGATTACATCATAGTCTCGCTACAACTGGTCAAACTATCAAAGTCTAATTGTAAATAAGGGCAATCCTTCTCGCGGAAAGTCGCATCGTTGCACCAGCCCTTCGAGTGCAACGTGTTCGTGAGGTAACACAGTACGTCTAGAATCTCGTTAATGCGCTAGGAACCCGGGCTTGAGTTTTCGCTGCTTCTTCGTCTGGCCTCGAGTTCCTGAGCTAGCATGGTCACCTCCCAATTATTGTGCCCCCCCTCGTGCGACTCGTCGTCGTCGTCTTCGTCGTTGCCGCTGTCGCTCCTGTCTGATCTGCTGCTGTCGCTGTTCGACTCCAGGTCGATGGCCACCTCGTCCTTCCACAAGTTCTGGGGAACGATCGAGGTGGGCAATTCTTGAAGTTCCAGAGTCTCTTCCTCGGAATGCTCCTCCCAGGACCTCCTGTTTTGGGAGGTGGACTCCGTGGACAGCGAAGAACGCGCGTAATGCGGACGAGCGGTGAGAACCGTGTCGACCGAGCCGTCCCTCATGAAAGGATGATCCTCACGGTCGTCGTCCAAATCCTCTTCCAGCGAGGCGTCGTGCTCCGTGCTGTCGCCGAGCGACTCGTCCCCGTTCTGCGACTCTCTTTGCTCCAGTTCTTGTATCCTCGCTTGAAGCTGAGATATTATCTCGTCCCGTTTACGAATTTCGAGCTCTAACGATGTGAACTGCCGCCCGAACTTCGTCTGTATGTCCTCCTGAAATATTGTAGACATTTCGTAGAGATCCCGTGGAAGTACATTTCGTAATGGTTTTTAGGAGGACTTTAATGCTAGAGCTACCAAATGGGTGAATATGACTTGTTCCTTGATTGTTTATTTTATGATTACTGAAGAGGTTGGAATATCTTTGAGAGATTACTAAAGATGATTAAGTAATAGCTAAGCTGAAATTTAAATCAATTCAAATCTTAATAATTCCACATACTTTTTATTATTCAATGTTCACTAATACATTTTACTGACCCATGCCATAGTGCCACTTGGAGACGACTGGAATAGTATCGTTCTTTCCTTACGAAGACAAAATGGCGAATCCTGTTTCCGGTTGTATCAGTTACCGAACACCTTGCATAAATTGCCGTCAGATATCATTTACGCCGTCCAGTTTTACGTACAGTAGCGTTCAAAAGTTCTCGGCCAGATCGTTTTTGGAATTTTTCTTTGATAAGATGAGTTTAAAGGAATTTCTGTTAATATAATGAATACGGACGAATACTAAAAAAGAAACCGTTCTATTTTCTTTTTAAAATTATGCACCCAACTAACTAAATTAGAGTATTCAAAAGTTTATCGTTATTATATTATCAACTATCTTTATCACAATAATCTTAATGTAATAACAACAAAAAGTCCCTTAAGGTCTTTATCATTCACAAAATGCTCCAAAAGCGACCGGGAACTCTCGAACACCGCTGTACGCCGCTACGAGAGGAAAGAAAACAATGGCCGCGATTCCGTCGAAAGAACGATATCCCAGTGTTCGTATATTCAGTATCTTCTCAAGCGAAACGCAAATGTGCTTGTAAATAATAATAGCCCTTACGGACTCCGCAGCGTGCACTGAACGCAACTCCGACCGCACACGCTGCTCGAAACGCTCAACTCCAGAACGGGGAAAGAACTTACCAGACGACCTTTAATGACTTCTCTGATACCAGACACTAGCTCCCCTATGTATTCCTCCTCCCGCGAGCGAGATACCACTTGCAGGATACCTCCGCTGCCCAAAGGACGGAAACTGAGTTTATTGGGCGGTGGCAGTGAGGCCTGCTCCTGGGTATCCGGCGACTGAGGCCCAAGTGGATAATTCCCTGGGATCTGCTCGGACGGCGGGCTTTGCAGCGTATACTTGTTAAACGTTACACTTTTCGAGAGCTTCGAATGCCTCGCGGCGTAACCCTCGATGGTCGGCGCCCTCATTAATTTCCTCAATTCGGCAGTGGCCGCCTCGCGGTCCGGCGTGCTCGTCGCTGAGGTGTCCGAGCTGCCTGTCCTGCTGCCGGCGGACAGCTTTTTTAAAATACTCTTCAGGTGCCGCCTTTCGAACGTTTCATTGTCCGGCGACAATGGGTCCGACGGGAATCCCCGGCGGTGCTGAAGTAAACATTATTTCGATATCAGTTGAACGTATTATAACTTGATCCTCTTTACTTATAGCCTAATACCGTCGCAACATTTATGTCTCGCAGTTATTATATAGAACGGACCGCAACAGGTGGCACAAAATCCAATTGGTTTTCCTTGAGAGTGCCGGATATGACAATTCGGTGTGGAAATATTGCGCTTTCGGCTTCGGCTGTTACTGCTAGCTTTTAATTCGACTGGGGATATTGGTTTCTCACGGTTTATTACTTTCTTCGCGGTGGGACCCTGTTATGCAGCATCGAGGCGGATTCAGCAGGATCAGCTCAGATGGAAGTTAGGATTAAAGGAGTCGATTGGCAGCAATTAGCCTAATTGGGTTCAGTCCAGTTTTTTATGTTTTCTGGGTTTTGTTCATTTTTATGGAATCGATGATATTTTACTTTTATAGAGTGTATGTTTTGAAACAAGACTTTATATACTTTTCTGATCGAATTAACCCTTTGCGGAGGAACTTCGTCATTTCGACGAGATGAAATGTTCAGCAGTTGTTCGAACAGCAAGAGTTCACCACGTAGTTCCCCCTTTTTTCTACTAATTAATCGGTTGATATATAATTTATCTTGTCTCTTGAAGGTTTTGTACATTTCAAAGAATCTTCGTCCGCAAAGGGTTAACGAATGAATGGTTTTAAAAACCAATGTATTGAGAAACATTAATTTTCTGAATTTTTGTTTTCTGCACTTTACCGCATTGGCTTCTCAGCGAATCATATTAGAAAAAGAAGAGGATTTTGCACTTATTCTGTGGCTACGCTTATTATAGATATTAAAATATTATAAATTATAAATTGTATATTATAAATTTATTGAAGAAGCCAATTTTTATGCGAGAGTTACCAATTTATAGAGTTTTCATTCGCTTACTAAGTGAATTTTCCATTAAAAGTAGAATGCTTAATTAAAAGACGCGGTAGAACGGTAGAGCGTTAATGAAAAAATCTGAATAATTAAATAATTCCTACCTACCTCAAAAGAATTCAAGTATCAACTTTGATCAAATAATAATTACTTAATTAAATAATCTGTTTACAATTTTAATGGCAGGTATTATAAATTCCAAATCTGGCGATCGATGTTACGGAAAATGGTGACCCAGTTCATTGGGGGTTTATTAAATATTATATTCAATGTTAATCATGTCGTACCATTATGCAAAGCATTACACGAAGAATATCAAAATCGAAAACATAATTGTACACCTATAATTAAACCGAAAATTCAGGACAAAAAGTTTCATATGAAGAATTGTTTCCAAGACAATCTAATACACCTACGTATCAAATTCCTCATTTATTACTGCGTTATAATCTTCTTGTTAATTAACAATCATACATTATACAAAACAAAGGAATGATAAAAGTAAGAAAATAACTTGAACACGCACGAAAGGAACACCTATCCGATATGTCCTCGATCGGTCTTTGTTTTCGAATTATTCCGAAATAATGAATAAAGAAGAACATGCAAACAATACTCAAGAGAAGATGTTTCGAAACTAAATTTAAATGCAAATTTTACACGGTATGCAGCAGAAACTTTCGCCAGGGGCATCGCTGGGATTCTAGGAAACCCCAATCACCGGGAAATAGGTTTTTATGGCATAAAGTGAGCTTCGTGTAGTTTGTGCACGTATGTTCGTGCATATGTTATCGTTAAAAAAGTGCTCGATCTATTTCAGAAGAAAAAGAAACATAACAACTGTGACTTCCTGTTAATAAAAGGTCATCGATACGTCCCCTTCGTTGAAAAGCAATTAATGACTTGTTTACAGTGAAAATCGATACTTATAACTGAGTAACTAATAGAAGCTTTAATGCTTTAACGGCCTGGAATATTCCATTCATTTTTGGCTTTCGGGTGAGAGCCGTGTCCAGTAGGAATTTGTTCCCAACGTTTCGCTCTATGAACTACTTCTCGCGCAAATATAGGGAAACTATTGAAATCCTAAAACACCCTAACAACATAAACAGGGAAACAGGATATCAACTGAATCCCATTTGGCACTCCGTCCTCCCGTTTTTTTAATTGTTCAGCTGATCAATTAAAATAACTGGTGACCATTGATCCGGAACATGAACAGGGTACATATTTAAAGAGATTCTTCCCTGGCACACATAAGTATCAGTGTGCCTTCAGTCCCCTGATGAAGCCAGCTGCAATGTTGGCGAAACGTTGGGAACAAATTCCTACTGGACACGGCTCTCACCCGAAAGCTAAAAATGAATGGATTAACTAATAATGTTAACACTAGGACCACCGAACATTTAATACGATTAACACTAGATTTACAGAACTCGTCAATTTGACGGATATAGAATTTTTTAAACGTTCTTTAGTAACAGTTTAAGTTTAAGTTTAAGTTTAAGGTTTTGAAGCTGCAATTTTCACGATTTATATAGACCAACACGTAGTTTTCTAGGAACAATAGAATAAACGTCCGTAAATCTAGTGTTAATATTTAATCTCTATAAAAATTGTAACAATAGATTATTTTCAGTTTCTTCATACATTAATTATAGTATTCAAGTGAAACTCTTTATTTTCAAGATCATTACGAATATTGAATGCTTCTAAGATATCAGTAATTGCGAAATAAATCGAAACCAGTCATTTTGTCGAGGCACGGTAGTTCTAGTGTTAAAAGCAGCCGCAGATTTATCGTGTGTTTCATGTTTCAATCAGATGATTTTCCCTTCAGTTTAAATCGAATGAGTTAATATAAATTATTCAAACATTTCCCAAATCGATAACGTAAATATACACAACCTCTGGTTCGAATGTGAAACCGCGTGTACCTAATATAAACACTGAACTCAATAACAATAAATAAATAAGTTCATCGCAATTGTTTATTAACGGTTTCATAACAGTATCAATTAAACAGTATTTACTAACGGATTCGAATGCGTTGTTTAAGTGACGACAAGATTTGTTTGCATCGAGAGCCTGTTTTATTTCGCCACCAATCGCGCGTATATTCTTCATTCGATTTATCAACCCGAAAGCTTAAATTCGGATTGCGCGTATTTCATGTGGAAGCCGTATCCTCCTCTCGAGTTACCGAACTTCCCCGTATACCGTCGAATATATCGATGAAGTTTAATGCAGCCTGGGCTAGATAGTTAGTATACTTGCACGCTGTAAGCGCGACATCAAATAATGCATAACTTACACAAAATGATTGCGCACAGATGATAGGGCGTGTACAAGTCATTAATCTGAGAAAAACATCCCAGTGAGCATGGGTCCAAAACTCGATAGTTTTCTAAAGAAAAATAGGTTAGTTGAAAAACTGATAATTACGACTTTAAAAGAAGAGAATGGATTTCGAATTAGTTTAACAGACGTGAAACGATAACAAACGGCAATCGATCGGCAGTTAGAATTAAATGTAAACATTGATATATTAAGTTGACAGTTAACAAGAAACAAAATAAAACAATAAAAACTCCAACCAAAAGAACAACAGTTCAAACAATTTAATTCAAACTGCCCCAAGCCAAATACTACCTATCAATCGCGCAATTTGAGCTACCAAGCGAAGCAAAAGTCAAAAAGACTTAATTAACTACGTTATAACGACTCTTAAAGTCACATTCCTAGATCCGCGATTCGACGAAACCCACGTTCCTCCTTCCTTAATACAGCAGCAGACGCACGAGACGCCGCAGTGAAGTCATCAAAAATTCTCCATGTTCCCCGACCGGGTGAACCATGGCCCCGGAAGCTCGTCAAAACTTCAGCACACGTACCTGATTCAATTTCTCCAGTTTCCTCGCGTACTCGATGGCGCAGGCCTCCGAGTGGCTCCTCGTTAGGTTGCCGTCGAACTCGATCTCAGCGTTTTCACCGCAATCGAGGCTGGAGCTACGGACCGCTTTCTCGAGTTCCGCCAGCTTCTGTCTCTCGTTCAGTATCTTGAGCTTCTTGACGAACGGCAGGCCGCAGTACTCTGGCGAGAGGTCGTCGACGGACGCGTACATCTTGGTCTGTTGCCTCAGATGGACGAGGCTTTGCCTAAGCTGCATCTTCCTCGTGGGCGGGCTGCGTTGCGGCGAGTTCTCCTTGTTGGTGAGCGAGGCGTCCTTCAGCATCGCCCATGTCTTCTTCGCGTTCGAGCCGTTCGCTTTCTCCGTTGTGGAGGCTGGCGCAGGTTTGCTGGCTTGGTCGGCGGGTCCTGGCACCGGTAGCTGGCCCGTCAAAGGCTTGGCAGCGGGTTTGGGTAGCTGCTCCTGCGACTCTTCCGGGATGACGTGCTTAGGGAGCAACGGCTCCTTGGTCGTCGCCTCCTTTTCAGCTAGCGCCTCTTGCTCGTTCTTCGCTTTCAACAACAGTATCCTCTGGAGGAAAGGCAGGTTCGGGTTAGTCGGATTCTGAGCCTCCGCCGGCGGCTGCTGCTGCTCCACCGCCTGTGTCTGCGTCTCCATCAGGTTACGCCGCTCCTCTCGCTCCTCTTTTTCTTTGAGCAGCCTCAGCCTCGCGAGCAGGGGCAGGCCTGCGCCGAGCGGCGACACGGGTGGCTCCTGGACGTTCGAAACGGTCGCTTCTTGGCAGTCGTCGATCTTTTGCTGGCGCTTGAGAGCCGGCGCCTTGGGCGCGAGCGGCTGCAGCTCGAGGCTCTCCTCTGGTCTAGTGTTTCGACGGCTCTTCCTTAAGGCGTTCTTCAGCCCTTTCACGTCGCTCTTCAGTTTGTCCACGATTCGTTTGCCCGTGCTGTTGTCCGAGGAATCGTGACCCGGGGATGTCGGCTGGCGAGTCGCCCTTGCTACTTTCTGCGCCTCCATCAACCGCTTCCTGCCGAGGTTCTGCAGAATCTCTTGCGCCTCCGGGTAGTCCTTCATCGCTGCCAGCACGTCCTCGCGAGAGAGGCTGAACAGCTCCGAGTAACCTACCGATCGAACGTCGGCTGTGCGTCTGGAATTTTTCAGTGATTTGCTTGTTTATTTTAGTTTTGTTGTATAACTAGAGATGAAAAACAAAGGCAACGATCAACCGCAACTCGGGTCTGTCGATCGGTCACGTCACAGTCTGTACTGTGCGTTGCGACGAACCTGGTATAATACGGCTCCGACAAGATGGCGCGCTACTCGGACTGACCGGCAAAAAACTCTACCACTCACAATGTTTGGACCGCCTCGGTCTTCAACGCTGGCTGTTATTGACGTGCAGCAATGGCAAAAGACGGAGTGAAATGTAATGATAGAGGACGAAGTTGCCGGCACTATGGCCTCTGATCTCTATCGTTACATCTCACTCAGTCGTAGTTAGTCCCGCTTCTGTTCTTTGCTACTGCGACGCGGCCAATGTCGAGCACGCATCGAAAACGGCCCGAACATTGTGAGTGGAAGAATCTTCTTGCCACGGATAGCACGCCATCTTGTAGGAGCAGGGCTACAGCACGCCATTTTGTCGGAGCGGGACTATAGCACGCCATCTTGCCGGAACTCTTTACAGTGCTTTACATGATCACAGCCAGCCGATGGCTCAAAAATGAAGAGAGGCAAGAGGATTCGGCACGTTCCACCTCAACTCGCGGCTTGGCCAGTAACAAAGATGTGGCGAAACTAATTCCGCCATTACTATCGGATACAGCACCGCGAATGAACATCTCCCCTTGGCCCTCTTCAGTTTTTAGCTACATGGTGGCTGAGATCATGTCAGTAACACACTGTACTTACTTATGTTGCCAAGCATTTGTATACGACATCAATGTCCTTATTGTAATTGTTCTCGATCTAATTTGGAAGCTCTTGTAGTTCTTCACTTTTGAGTGAATTGCACTTTAGTAGGTTTTTTTCCATTATTGGCTACCACGGTTGTCACCGATAACCGGAGCTTTAAAATTAGATCGAGAACAATTACAATAAGCACACTGATGTCGTGAATAAATATTGGTTAACATAAGTAGGTATAATGCGTTACTGACATGATTTCAGCCGGCTTGTGGCTCAAAAGTCAGTTACTGTATATAGAAAGACTGAGCAGAAACGGGAAAGGCTCTTAAGTCTCGTAGTCCTCTATCAGCAGAGTGTAGGAAACTGCAACTTATAATTTTTAATAGCATTCGATAACTGTAGTTTATTAAGAGTATAGGCGACAGTTTTAAAATTGCCAATTAAGTTGGTTAATATTTGAGGCTGCCCGGGCTTCGAGTACTTGTTAATTATTCCGCTGTAGTTACGGAGTAAGTTTGTTGTACTTTAAATTCGTTACAGTAGCTGGAATTGTAATTGAATTAAGCCCAATCGATCTCAGGGCAAAGTTTAAGACGATTCATTGTCAGGTCGTCTCCGTTTCTTTAATAGGTTCAGTTCTGAATTTCAATATTCATTACGGTGAACCGTGCTTTAAGGCTATTGTGAATGAATAATTATGAAATTATTAAGAACAGTATTAAATACTAGTATTTTATTATACAATCCATTCATATTAAAAAGAGGAAGTAATGTTTTCTTTTTAATTTAGGAAACGGTTTTTACGTCACTGTGTTTAACTAATAATTGTAGGTACCTATATAATTGTGCGTTTTATTTATTCAATTATAAATTCATGGTAAGCTCAAACAGTTTCCTACCATTTCAGGATTTTGCACTTTTATTTAATAAACGAAATAAAATCACAAAAATGACGATGAAAAATTAAAAAAAAATTATGATATTTTGGAAGAGATTACATATATTGCATTACAAATGTTGAATAATTGTTTTATTACAATAACAAGAGAATTGAAAGTGAAAATGATAAATTTAAGGAGAGAAACAGAGATAAATAGTAGACACAGTTTACAGTCAACAGAATATTCTCTCTAAATATATCTAAAAAACCGAAAAAAAAACAGCGGAAAATCCCTAACAAGTTTTGCAATATTATTCGCTTTTCAGCAGGACAAAAGTTCCAATGTTATGCCTGCTGCGCTGAAATTGAACACCATGTATCAAATGAAATAGTCATAGAACTTGCGTGCGATACGTTTGTAAATCTTTTCATTCGATCGTTCACTGAAAAATAAAACAACGAGCTGGAATAACAGGTTTTCCCGAACTTTTCCCATTCGTCACCGCCTTAGTACGCGCATCGTGCAAGTATTTACTACCTAGATATGCATATTGCACGCCTCGCATCCGGTTCCAAACTCTTTCACGCTAAAAACTTGAGCCAATAAAACTCGGTAAACCGAACGACTACCGAATTTCAAATTCACGTGTACAGTGCCGTTCAGAACTGTCCGGTCAGATCGTTCTTGGAATTTTTCTTCGTTAGGATGAGCTCCAGGGAGTTTCTGTTAACACATTGCGTACTGGAATCGAGAAATCTCGTTTTTCACGAATCAAAGCAAAAAAACAATTTTGCTATTACCAATTGATCTTCAAATGAAATTTCCACTTAAAATAGAACAGAAAATTTTGGATTGAATATTTAAGGATTTATATTGTCATTGAGTTCCATTGAAATTCTGTAGATTTAATGGAATTAATTTCAAGTGAAATTATAACGTATTCGAATGACTAAAATGTAAAACTGAATATAATAGTATTTAAGGAGTGTTCATACTATCATTGAGTATCATTGAGTTTTTTATCATTCATGGAATGAAAAACGTACTTTAACCCTTTGCACTCCAAATTCCTTTTGCATCTTTTCCTCGGTAACTCCGTATTATTAGGATATTTTCTTTGACATACATTTGAAGGAATAGTTAATTCATAGAGAACAGTGTAAACGATTCTTCTTACTAATAATATTGAAAATAATATAACAATATAATCTATTTGAAAAATATCTTGACAAAGAATCACACCTGTGAATAAAACTAGGAGGGCAAATGGTTAATAACAATAAACTGCTTCTGTCACGCATCATTTCTCCTGACTAAATCATATCAGAAACGGTTAAAATAAAATAGAAATTTTTCTTCTGAAAAATCTAGTCCATATACCTATCTATTTGTAACTTAGCCTACTGTGGAATTGCTTAGAAAGACAGGAAGATAATAGTTACATATATACTTAATAGATAAGAGTTACATAATCAGTTACAAATGAAAGAATGTTTTGTGTTCGGAGCAAGTGAATTATCCAAGTGCTCCTCTTGGAAGTGTAGTTTAGAAAATGCTATTCAAGTAGAATGCAACTGACTGAAGGGACTTACTTATTTAATCCGTCCAGATTGAGTATACCAATCTCCCCAAAGAAGTCCCCGGCTTTCATGGTAGTCAGAACTCTGCCAGTTTCGCTGATCACCTCTAAGATGCCATCTGCTATTATAAACATTTCCCTGGCCACTTCACCTTTCCGGCATATCGAATCGCCGGGCGTGAATATATAAGCTTTCATTTTTAGGACGAGGTCGTGTAGAAACTCGGGCTGGCATTCCTGCAAATAGAATAGCAGGCTGAAGAGGAACCGTATAAATATCCGCTGGTAATTTCAAATTAACAGTAAACTGGGGAAACAATAAACTCTTTATATCGTGTAGTTATTGGGCTGCAATTACCTAGAATCAATTCGATCTCGATTACTTCGGATGATTAACTTTTCAGTACATTACATTGGGCATCGCAGAATACAAAAATGTGATTAACCCCTTGCCTTACAATAACGTGTCAGACTCGCGATGAAGATTTGAAACCAAGTGTAGCAAACAAATATTACCGAATTCTTGTAAAAATTAAATCTTATGTTTTTGTTATCAATTACTATACTTTATAAAGCATTGCCATAGAATATAGCTAGATTTTTTTATTTTCAATGAGTTATTGATAATAAAGTACTTGTATCGATAGAGAAATAAATCGTAAGGCAAGGGGTTAATATCGAATAATAATCTAATATCTAATATTAACACTCAGTGTTAATGTAATAGTGTCAACACTATTTCTACCGAAGGTAGAAGACACTTTCCGAAATTTTCACTTGTTTTCTCAGTTTAACATGTTAAACGTTATGTGGGTCACCGGTGAGTGCCAACCAAATCGCTATAACTTAGTCAATTAAACGATGATTATTTATAAGAAAATCTATGGTTGTATGTTGGAATAGCAAGAGAGTGAACATTATATTCTGCGCCGGGTCTGAAGGGGTTAACCAGTATGATCGCGTACGTAAAGTGACTGAAATTAGTAACCCTCTTATCGATTCTCTGATGACGACCTTGTGGCCTTTCGTCTCGTGGACAGTATCAAGTAGACGCCTCGATGCATATTACCGGATGCCTGTTACCGTCAAAGGGGTGAGTACGTAGTCGTACGCAATCGTGTCTGTTAAATAGTAGGAACAAAAATTGAAATATCCATTTTTTCACGCTTTCATTTGCATATCTTTGTTGCCTGTTCGTACTTCTCTTGGCATTTTCGTTTTCCATCGATTAATTGTGAGCATATTGAGTTGTATTAAGAAATTAATTAAGTGAGTAAAATGGTTCATTTATATGTGAATCATTGAATTTTTCCGTTTAGACAAGAATCTTTGTTCTTGTAACTAATTTTATCGAAATAACTGTTCCTTATGTAGAAATGACATGTTCCTACCTCTTAAATAAAATGTCATTTTTCTAATAATGTAACGATATAACCTTCATTATTTGAATCTATTCAAAGTCAAGTCTTCCTAAGATCGAAATTTTCATTAGGTATGTTTTCCAAAAACAGTACATATCAAGAATGTTTAAACGAATATTTAAAACAGTGCAAATTATTTCGCAAACTTTTGAACGCGTCGTCCGGAATAAATGGACTGATGAAAATCTGTTGAATGGCTCTGTCACATTTACTTTAATTACATGAACGCCATCAAATCTTCGTCCTTTTACTTTCAGCTTAATCTGGTAAGTGGGAAGTAATTACGGGGCCAAGATCCTGGGAATAGGAAAGATACTGTGAGAATACACTTACTTCTCGTGTAAGAAATTTTTATATTGAAAGGACGCTTTGAAACGAATCATTAGCTCCACAAATCGATTGTCTATAATTTACATTGTTATGTACATTATAAAATCTTCAATAATATATGTTGCCAATAATACATAGTGGAAAATAGTATGACAATAGTAACAATAATAGACAATGGGAAATCGAAATTGGAGAGGATAAAGTACAAACAGGAATAAAGATGTTAATGAACTTCATTCACATTCCATCTTATTTTCCTTCATTTGATTGTAGGTGGAAATCCATCAGTTAATTTTTCCTTGGGTCGATTGTCGCGAGTACCAGGAATTCGATCGAAATTGAAATTGAAACTGAAATTGAAAAGTATAACGTACAAATAGGAATAAAGATATTAATGAACTTCATTCGCATTCAGTTATTATTTTCCCTCATTTAATTTTAAATGAAAATCCATCAGTCGGTTTTTCTTTGTAGAGGTTCTGCGATGCATGCTCGAATTTCGATGAAAATTCATTTGTGGTATCGTCACTCGCTTCGGTTAAGGTCAAATATGAATGGACTATTGCTGTGGTTGGTCAATCCACTGCGAATTAACTGTAGGTGTCACGAAGCAGACCCATTACAGGACCAATTGCCCCGGAGTCGTGAGGGAAGTCGTGCTCGAACATGCTGAATTGAACTGGAATTACCATTAAGGTGATCGATAAAGCCTATGGATCGCGTGTAACTTCGGCGGCGATCTTATCCAAAGCGAAACGACATCTCGGATAGATAAATGTATTAAGACGACGAGTATCAAGAGAAATTGGTTCCTAAATTACAGTCGGATGTTGTCTATCGATAATATTCTGTTCAGTCCCGTTGTTGAATTTCAATCGGTTTTAATTGTAATCGAAAGCAGAACTCTCGTGAATGACTCGAACGTAATTAATCCTTTGCGCTCGAAAGATTTATCACTGGAAATATTCAATTTATTTTTATGTGATATAGATGACTATATTTAGTATTTTCTAAACTAATTTAACGTGAGATCTATTCACAAATTAACACAACCTACCAAACGAGTCAAAATCACCCATTCAGATCTTCTTTTTGCAATTATTAAAAAGATAACAGATTTCTCGGAGAAATTATCCAAGAAATTAATCTAGCAATACGCAAATTAAATTATAAATCAATTAAAGTCTCAGTAGACTCTTCGAGTTTCTATAGACCAATTTCAAGAATGTAACTCCTTGGTAGTTTCAATGTTACATTTTTTATAATGGGAATCATGTTATTGCAATTTCGGATATTTATTTAAAACCTATCGCCTCTGTAATCAACTTTTATCTGTGGCAGCTATTAATCGAAGGAAATTGGAAGTTCCACAATTTTTCAGCAACATTAATCAATTTGAAAAATATATATATAATATCCAAACTATCTATAAATCATTAAACGTTTTATTTCATGCCACTTCATTGCTCATAATGCAACTGAATTTTTCTGTCGAGCATTTCTCTTTATTTCTATAATTTTTCAAGGTATTCCAGGGAACGAATTTTTCATCCCTAACTTCGGGCGTCATTTTCACCGCGCAGACATAAATATGGGCAGCTATAAAAACAAAACATACGCGTTGAATATTTAT